CTATTTCACAAGTCAGTTACAACTTGTGAAAGTCGGTGGCATGAGTCAGAAGTGCTGCAGGGACTGCAAAGGTTTTGTCTATCCTCTTACGATGCGGGAAAAAACTGTATTAACCTCTTCTAAATTTAATCAGTTTTTGCTTTTTTGTCTAATGCTTTATAAATACCTTTAAATGTTAGAGTGAGATCATCTGAGTAAATGTAAAACACAGTTTCCAAAGATAGTTTTTATCTACTGTCAGTGTTAAAATGTAACTATAACCTAAAAGTTGATCATGCTGCCTCGGCAACATGTGTTTATGGCAACTGGCAGTCTTTTTAGTTCTTCAAATTGCTCTTTCCATAATTGCTTAAATTCTGTCTAGCGTGAGTGGTTTATAAACCTTTATTTTCAAGAGAGACTGTGCATGGCAATGCAAGGATGACTTGGACTGCCATACTGAAAGCAAGCCATGCATGCCCATACTTAAGTTCAATAACTACTAACATTCTTCTTCAGGATTTTCTGGTCGAAAACAAAATTCTAGGTCCTGAATATGGATAACATCTCACTACCACTACAGCAGGGGTGCTCAAGTCCAGTCCTCGAGAGCTACCATCCTGCAACTATCAGATGCATCCCTGCTCCAACACACCTGAATCAAATGAATGACTCGTTACCAGGCCTGTTCATAGCTGAGCCTGGTCTACTGGAGTAAGGCTGCAACTAAAAGTTGCAGGACGGTAGCTCTCCAGGACTGGACTTGAGCACCCCTGCACTACAGTGTTTAAATGACCCAGAACTTCTAAAAGTGTACAGTAAGAATATTTCAGCATGTTTTGGATAGCTTTTATCCTTTATTAAAAGCAGTAAATGCATATCCTTTAGTAAATTAAGTCCTCAATTGAAAATATTTGTATTGTATTTACTCTGCCATGCTCTTTTTATATTATTAAACTTTGTTGAAAAATGTGAAAATTTAAGTGGAAAAAAACAAAAACAGCATAACTCTGATTGGGCCAAAGCCTTTTCATACCGATGTATATAATAACGCAATTAATAGATAGAAAAACCAAATAACACAAATTTAAAATAGCTATACAGAAAACAAATATTCACATGTCATTTTTTTTTGCACAGTGTGGATTCAAGGTTAGGGTTAGGGTTATGTTGACATAGTGAGGAAAATAAATTGCACAAAACCCACAGAAACAAATTCAAAGCGGAGAAACAACGAAGAAAATGGGGGGAACAGAAAACCTAGGAAGACAATCAGAGGCCAGTAATCAGAGAACCCAAGAATTTGTTAAAGTTTAAGTCTGTTTTTGGGGTCGTCTGTAATGTGCCTCTGTGGGATGCATACGTGGAGACTCTGTAATACAGACTTAAATAACTAAGTATGACCAAGCCCAAAATGCATAGATTAATGTCAGTTAAACATTAGAGAGTTAGTGAGAATTTAGAGACAGGTCAGAGGGACAAAGCCAATAAAGTCCCACCGGTTCTCTGGACAGCATCCCTCTTTACAGAGCTCAGCCCAACACCTGTTTTCCAACGTGAGCAAGATGTCAATGTCCAAACATTGACATCTTGTTTGGATCCTATGCCACGTTGTCTCTTTGTGCCTCTGGAATCTTCCTCGTGCCTTCAAGAAAACTGAATCCATGTTTTTCAAACTCAATGTTTTTTGTGCTCTGACCCGTTCCAGGACATTTAAAAAAGTCCATTTGTGTGTCTAAACTCTACTTCACTCACAATGGCCTCAGCTTTTATGCGACACTGAGATATAAAGATATAAACTGTTTTCAAACACTACAAGGTCAATGGTAAAACTGCCAAAAAAAAGGTGATTAGAAGAACTGATCTGTTGCAGCTGAGAGCCAAGCAGCCCCATGGAGTCAATGAGAATGTGAAACACACAGACTACCTTCAATTAATTAGAGGAAAACATGGAAAACAGAGGACATACTAACATGGACGAGAAAGTCAGTGGACGGAAAACTAATATTAAAGTTATGAACCTGACAGACTACAAAAAAACATGGCTAGATAAAAGAACTAAGAATTCACAGTATACAAAATAAAACAAATGATAGGAAATGTCCTAAAACCCCCTAAAGACTGTGACAGTCAGTGTTGTTGACCAGATACAGAGGATGTAAAAAGACAGCTACACCATGAGAAACTGAGAGGGTGAAGCAAAAGATGAGTCAAAAAGTCTCTGTAGGCAGGATTTCCTCTACCAGAGGAGGACAACACTATGATCTGCCAGCAAGGCGCCTGCTGCCTAGTGCCATCTCTGGAAGGTAAGCCATCAAACTCTTGATTTTATTTTCCAGCAAAAATTCGGTTTGCTATACATTTAGTTCTGGAAGCTGTTACTCTGTGTGTCTGTTTTAAATGAAGAGTTTTTATCAAAAAGAGCTGTGAGCAAGTATCAAATATGTAACATGTCAGTTTCATTTTAGAATTGGTCTTGATGGTGTGACACACAATAAGGATAATTAAGAAATGTGCTCTTAGATCAAAATAACCAAGATACGATATGTTTCCACTGTTAATAATCTATTCAGCTCTTTTTAGTGTTTAATTGGCAGCACCAATAATGAAAACATGTAAGGAACAGGCAGCAGGGGTGACACTGGATCCAGCACAAACTTATAACCAGAATAATTTATTGACTAAAACAAGTCTTTAAAACATAACAAATTGATTGTGTCAGCTACCACTAACCTAGAACTGGTCAGTGGTATGGACGTTTCTGTTGTTGATGTAGGTTACTCTGTTGTTTAAGCATCAATGAACATGTGAGAATATAATCTCTATGATTCCCTCTTCCTTCCATTCAAGGGTTCCATTCCAGTAAATTGTAACCTGTTGACGTAGATCACACTCAGCAGTCATGGTGGCATGTGGGCTCAGACCATTGTTCCTCCTCGCTGTGATCCTCCTCCTTCTCAGCTCCCTCTTTCTGATGCTTTATCACAACTTGGTCATCCAGATGCTTTACATGGAGCAGTACCCTGCGTCTGCTTCTCAGAGGAATGTCAGCATCTTGCTGTGGCACTGGCCATTCGGACGGTCCTACAGCCTCAGTGGGAACAAATGTCTGGAGATGTACGGCATTGGCCGCTGTTTCCTCACTGATGACAGATCTACCTACCCAACTGCAGATGTGGTTGTATTCCACCACCAGGAGTTGAGCAACGCTGCTTCGGCTCTGCCACTGCACCTGCCTCGGCCAACGGCCCAGGGCTGGGTGTGGCTATCCATGGAGCCTCCAGTCAACAATGTATATGTCGAGCGGTTTAATGGTGTCTTTAATTGGACAATGAGCTACAGACGGAATGCAGATATTACCATTCCTTATGGAGAGACCCTTCCAGGAGCTGGATTGGAAGGTTTTCAAAGTGCTTTAAAGCATTCCTGCTTTGCAAGCTGGGTGGTTAGCAAACCCAAGCCCAACCAGACACGTGTTGATGTTTACCAAAGTCTGCAGAAGTACATCCCCATCCAGGTGTACGGAAAGTGGAAAAAGAAGCCTCTCCCACATGGCAGGTTGCTGCCCACCATCTCTAAATGTCTGTTCTACTTGTCTTTTGAAAACTCAGAAGCAAAAGACTATATCAGTGAGAAGCTGTGGAGGAATGCCTTCCAAGCAGGGACCATTCCAGTTGTTCTTGGCCCTAGCAGGCCCACCTATGAGGAAGTGGCTCCACCTCATTCCTTCATCCATGTAGCTGACTTTAAGAGTGTAGTAGAACTGGCTGCTTATCTGAATCATGTGGCTGCTGACAAGCAAGCTTATGACGAGTACTTCAAATGGCACAAGACACACCGGATTAAAACCTACACCGACTGGAGAGAAAGACTCTGTCAGATCTGCCTTAAGTACCCCAGTTTACCAACCAGGAAGGTTTACCAGGACCTGGATGGCTGGGTTAACAGATGATACGTCTAACACTGCTGGCTGACTGCAGGAAGATGCAAACATCATGTTTCTTTGGTCAGACATGAAGGTCCTATTCACAGTAAGGAACTTCACCATAATTTAATGGTTTACTGAGCTAGATGTGTAAAAATGCAGAAGTGAGAAAATGTTTAAAGAAAAACATTTGCCCACAGAGACTTGTTTCCAAAACGAAATTATTGAACCAGAAAAAAATTTTTGAAATTGTTTTTTTCCAATTACTCCAATTACTTTGTATAGAACTATGCATATTTGGTTTGCAGAAAAATTACAAAACACCCAAAGCAAATAAAGACCTACCCAAACTGTACAACATATAATTGTCTTTGTTCATATATTTTGTAGATTTAACAGTTTTGTATCATTTGTTGGCATGTTTTTAAGGGCTCTATGGCACCATTAGTAGCAGTTCCCTCTCCTAGCAAATGTGTCCTATAGCTGTTTGCTTGTTGGATATGAATAAATTTCTAATTTTAAACTGACAGACTGTGTGAGACAGCATCTGCTAACATAAATATATTAATAATAATTATGGCATTTCCACCATTATTGCACATTCTTATGCACTTCTGTACATATTTTCCTTCTGTTTACCACATGCTGCATTCTGACCACTGTCTACAATAAAAAAACACACAAACTTCCACACATTTTCATGTAGTGCCAGCAAAATCCCATCCTACAAGAATACAACAATATTTGTTGGCACTGTTAATCTGTGTTGTACAACAGAATATTATATTAACACTCCCCAAATTCCCCCATTGTTTTTTTTTCTCTGTTTCTTCTTGAACTCATTGAGAGGTGAGATCAGACTGGACTGGTAATCCAGATCATCTCAACGGTCTTCATGGATTAAAAACACACATCCAGCCTGTGTATGATTTACTTTTCCCTTTACATATGACTAAACGGTTTCCAAGACACAGAGTTCAAAGAGATTCATATCTGTTTCTTACAAAAAATGAAAGCACAATAGCAATTTATACTTAAGATCTTATAAGTATTTATTTTATCACAGCTTTGATATATGCACATGAAAGCTAAACATATGGAGAACATATAAAGAGGCCAAAGACAATTTGTATTGTTCTAAAGCTCCTTTACATAATTATTAATTCGGAAGAGAACAAACAAACAAACAAAAAAAAAATCAGCAGAGATTTTAGCAGAGGGGAAAAAAAACATAAAAATGCAACATGACAATTTGATCTTTGATTTGCATGCCCCATGAACTGTGTTTTGCTCCACAAGTTCTGTCAATCTGGATAAATATGTCTGCTGGAGGGGTTTGTGTATTTGACGACCTCCTTCACATCTTCACTGATGATGAGACAGAGTCAAGGCTTCATCTCCAGATTCCTTCCTTAAAGTGTCTCTGCTGCCCATCCTGGCTGAGCTCTGTTCTGGAGCAGATGCAAAGAGGCAGGCAGCAGCCTCCAGAATCAGACATGTGAGCCTGTGGAGCAGAGCTCGTCTTTAGCATAGGAAAGGCAGGGAACATCAATCTGAGTTTGGGGGAGGAGGGGACCATTGCTCTTAGCAGCTTTACAAAACACAGTTAGTTCTATTCAAACACATCACTGAAACAAGACAGCTATATTAAATATATCTAAATGTCTGCGCATTAGAAGTGTTTAATGAATACTCATTCAGTTGTCAGATTGCTGAGTCCACAAAGCAACTGTCAGAAAAAAATCCCAACATATTTTTGTGTCGATTCAGTTTGGCCATGCTTTGATTGTTGGCTGTACTGGGATCATCAACCCAAATGCCTCTCTGTAGAGCTAGAGAACCTGAATGCTCTTTGGTTTTCTCTGAAAACAGAGAAAATCTAAACAACTGCAAAAAAAGAATGTTTTATTTTCAACTGTTAGATTTCAACTTTGTTCCTCCTGCAGCCGTGATGAACGTGTTTCTGGGGTCAATAGTACTTTAATCTGGGCATCTTAAACTCAGCTTTTAAAATTAACTTCTGTATTTAAAATGGTGGCAGTAGGAATAGTCACACTTTAAAAAGCCTTTCTCAGTGAGGACTCAGCAGGATGAAGACATCTATCTTTGTACTAGAAACACACTGCAACATCGGCTTGAGAGATACGGCTGTTAACAGCTAGCCAGGCTAAGAGTCAGATATCCATCCATCCATCCATTTTCCGGTCACCCTTCTCCCTAACGGGGTCGGGAGGTGCCGGTGCCTATCTCCAGCTGTGTTCCAGGCGAGAGGCGGGGTCACCATGGACAGGTCGCCAGTCTGTCGCAGGGCAACACAGAGACAAACAGGACAATGCACACACACACTTAAGGAGAATTTGGAAAGACCAATTAACCTGATAGTCATGTTTTTGGACTGTGGGAGGAAGCCGGAGAACCTGGAGAGAACCCACGCATGCACAGAGAGAACATGCAAACTCCGTGCAGAAAGAGCCCGGGCTGGGAATCGAACCCAGGACCTTCTTGCTGCAAGGCAACAGTGCTACCAACTGCGCCACTGTGCAGCCCCAGTCAGACATTAAATCTCTTTTTACAGCAATTTCTCCTTCGGACTTGTAGCTTGATGCAGCCTCTGCTGTGAATTGCTCACAGCAGATACGGTGGGCCAAAAGGGCCATAATTCAATGACCTAAAAGGTTCTTAAATAATAGTTAATATATTCAACCATTTAAATAAAACAGGTTTGCACACATAAAAAAAAAATCTAATTGTCTACCATTTTAATAATTTAATAAAAGAATTATGAAATAATTATAATTTTAATAATTTTTATGGTAAAAGTAAAATGAATAATTTTAGTGTTTCTAGGTGGATGGAGCACACAATGTATTTAGGTATTTATGTATTTGTCATTAAAGTCAGTCAGTTGGTGATTGGTTAGAAGTTAAACAAATCAAACAGCTACGATCGAAATCATTTCATGACAGGCTGTGGCAAATCTGTAATTAGGAATGAAATTCAATGATCAAATGACTGAATGATTTTGTATTCAATAACTTAGAAATGCACTATGTGCCTTTTGATGCTGTCTAATTTAGTGTAATTTTATTTTAACCGTCAGATATACAATATTCATTTGAATTTATTGGTTGGTCTGTGGAAGTTTTGGTCGTCCATTGCCAGAAAGACTAATGAACACACTTTTTAAATGCAGTTTATAGATATTTATAGTTTTTAAATAAAAATCAGAGTTGCTTAATAGCAGGCCTAAGTTTTTATAAAAAATGGTCCCAAGAATCTGATTGATGCATCATTCAGATTTTCCACATGCCTCCCCAAAAAACTGCCCACATCTCGAAGTAAAAACTAGAAATATCCTAGATATGTGTTTGGACTCTGGTGGTTTGTACTTGAGTGACCCGGCACCTATCACCTATTTAGTCTCTGAAAATAAAGAAAGCAGCAGCAGAGCTTGTCCCAGCATTCAAGCAGTGACAGACCAACCTGTCCTTTTACATCAACTGCTACTCACACATCACTAAACCATGAGTACAAGCCATGGTAGTCAATACCTTATGTACAGGATGGACTCTCTGGTTCAGAGCTCAGATAGAAACGATTTCAAATGACCTTGAAATAGTTTTCATACAGTTTATGTACAGGATAAACATTAGCAGCAAGTCTGAGGTACCAACTTGGAAAAAAACTTGAAATGCATATTGACTGATTTGTTACATGGATGATACAGTGAATGTTCTCAGCCACTGTGCTAGGCTGAGAACAGTGGCTACATAACATTCTGATACAGGAGAGTATGCTGCATGGAGGCACATTAAAAATGTTCCTTTTTAAAATCAAAGCAAAACCTCATAGTAAAACCACAAATTGTGGTTAAAACTCAGGGAAGAAAAGAACATTTACTGATTAATCAAAAACAACAGCCAGAAATCAACTCAGAATAATACTGCCAGCTGGTGGCTTCAGCAGGATCCTGCACTGCACTCTGCTCCAGCTGATCAACACACAGTTAGTCCACCTGTTTTCTGCCAGAGCAACACACACAGACTCACAGCTGAACTGAAGATGAAACAGAACAGAGCAAGGCTGCAGAGCATGAGACTCACAGACAGTCAGCTTCAGACATGAACCCAACATTTCACATGTTCCTCTTCCTCTCCCTTAACAGGGAGACAATCTTGATCTCTACATGGACTTGGCTGAGTGTAGCAGTGCATGTGGAATGTGTGTGGATGTGAATTCAGGGAGAAGTACACACAGGTGATGCACTTCCAGTGTGACGGTCCGGATTTACTTGTGGAATCTGTGTAGGTAAAGGTTGGCGTCATCAAACAATGGGTTCTTCACCTCCATTTCTCCTGTCTGAACAACAACACAATTTAATTAACATGAGAGCATGCTTGCTATTTACTGCATATATTTTACTTTTCTTTTTCAAAAACTGCAGTTTTGTACTCAATTTATTCAGAGAGTAAAATGCAGTTTATGTATACTTTTAAAAATATTTAATATCAGCTGTTGGTAAAAGATGACGTAAATAAAGTAATCTTTTACCAACAGCTTCTCATTGTCTACTGTGTTTATTTGGCTCTGATAAATATTATTATGGCTGCTTAAAAACGGACTAGCCCACTAGACAAAAAATAATCTCTCGCTCTCTTCATCTTCCTCCTACACACTAAGACCACTAAAGGAGTCTTCTTCAGTGGGAGTTGAACAGCCTCACAGAAACGTTCCCAGGCTCTCTTCTGTTGTCATTCTCAATGGAAACACTTATTTTAACAATAAAACTATGCAAATTGAAATTCCAAAAACTAGAAAATTCCTGAAGAAATTTAACCAGGGCCTGCCAAAGTTGGTTTGGACCCAGCATTCTGATGCTAAAAATTAGCATCAATGATAAACATAACAAAAAAATTTTGACTAACATGGACTAGAACCATTCAGTATGTCAAAATTAGTTTAGAAGCTAAAATTAGCCAAAATGCTAGTAATGTTGATGTGAATACTCTCAGGAACATGTGGGGCATCACTAGCATGTTGTCTGTAATCGACTTACTCCATTCAGTATACTAAATATGGCTAATAAGTAAGAGAAATAGTTCATACCTTATTTAAGGTAAAAGGCTAATGCTCTGCCTTGCTGCACAAGACAGTAAGTACCCTAACCTCAGAGAAAAAGACATTGCAAGCTATGTCTTTTATTATTATTGCATCGTCTATGGCGGTGCAATAATAAAGCAATATTGAGGCTTTACTTTGAAATTTATCAGTAAGCTTTGTTTTAAATGTCCAAACTAATTCCATGCATAACAGTGATTGGGTTAAAGCAGCAATAGCCTTATGTTAAAAATGTGAAGGCTTTTATTTTGAAATTTTCAGAAAGCTACATTTTAAATTGTCAAACATATCCAATGTTTAACAGTGGTTTGTTTAAAACAGTCACATAAAGCCCAAAACAGAAAGTATCTTATGTAAAAATTGTGACGACTTCATTTTGAAATTTTCAGGAAGCTTCATTTTAAATTACCAAATTAATCCAAAATGTAACTGGTTTTGTTAAAAAAAAAAAGACACATAATGCCTAAGAGAGCAATTACCTGATGTAAAATTTGTGAAATTTTGAAATTTTCATTAAGCTTTTTTAAAAATTCCCACACTAATCCCATGTGTAACAATGGTTGGTTAAAATCAGTTATAAAATGCCTAAAACACAAGTATTTCTAAAGGCCAACCCCATTCCTCAGAGTTCTGCCATAGTTAGAACTACAGTGATGCGTTTTTGTTGGCCTAATCAGCTGCTCTGTCCTGCTGTGTTCCATTGCTATGGTAATGGATCCTGTGTCGTGTGTGTGTGTGTGTGTGTGTGTGTGTTGTGTGTGTGTGTGGTGTGTGGTGTGTGTGTGTGTGTGTGTGTGTGTGTGTGTGGGCATGTGGGCGTGTGTGTGTGAGACAGAGGTGGAGAAAGAATTCTATCTTTGTGAGACACCCAGTCAGTTTGTATGAAAAAAGTCCATGTGATCATTTGGATCAGCTCTTCTGAAATAGACATATCTGAAACATGCAGAGCAGAGCTCCTGAGGACTGGAACTGAAAAGCGCTGACCTAATGTGAACCTTGATATACAGTTAGGGCCAGAAATATTTGGACAGTAACACAATATTTGTGAGTTGGGCTCTGCATGCCACCGCATTGGATTTGAAATTAAACCTCTACAACAGAATTCAAGTGCAGATTGTAACGTTTAATTTAAAGGGTTGAACAAAAATATGTGATAGAAAATGTAGGAATTGTACACATTTGTTTACAAACACTCCACATTTTAGGAGCTCAAAAGTAATTGGACATATAAACATAACCCAAACAAAAAAGTTTTTTCTCAATATTTTGTTGCGAATCCTTTGGAGGCAATCACTGCCTTAAGTCTGGAACCCATGGACATCACCAAACGCTGGGTTTCCTCCTTCTTAATGCTTTGCCAGGCCTTTACAGCCGCAGCCTTCAGGTCTTGCTTGTTAGTGGGTCTTTCCATCTGAAGTCTGGATTTGAGCAAGTGAAATGCATGCTCAATTGGGTTAAGATCTGGTGATTGACTTGGCCATTGCAGAATATTCCACCTTTTTGCTCTCATGAACTCCTGGGTAGCTTTGGCTGTATGCTTGGGGTCATTATCCATCTGTACTGTGAAGCGCCGTCCGATCAACTTTGCAGCATTTGGCTGAATCTGGGCTGACAGTATATCCCGGTACACTTCAGAATTCATCCGGCTACTCTTGTCTGCTGTTATGTCATCATAAACACAAGTGACCCAGTGCCATTGAAAGCCATGCATGCCCATGACATCACGTTGCCTCCACCATGTTTTACAGAGGATGTGGTGTGCCTTGGATCATGTGCCGTTCCCTTTCTTCTCCAAACTTTTTTCTTCCATCATTCTGGTACAGGTTGATCTTTGTCTCATCTGTCCATAGAATACTTTTCCAGAACTGGGCTGGCTTCTTGAGGTGTTTTGGGCAAATTTAACTCTGGCCTGTCTACTTTTGGAATTGATGAATGGTTTGCATCTACATGTGAACCCTTTGTATTGCTTTCATGGAGTCTTCTCTTTACTGTTGACTTAGAGACAGATACACCTATTCCCCTGAGAGTGTCTGGACCTCATTTGATATTGTGAACGGGTTCTTCTTCACCAAAGAAAGTATGCGGTGATAATCCACCACCGTTGTCTTCCGTGGACGCCCAGGCCTTTTGAGTTCCCAAGCTCACCAGTCAATTCCTTTTTCCTCAGAATGTACCAGACTGTTGATTTTGCTACTCCAAGCATGTCTGCTATCTCTCTGATGGATTTTTTCCTTTTTTTCAGCCTCAGGATGTTCTGCTTCACCTCAATTGAGAGCTCCTTTGACCGCATGTTGTCTGGTCACAGCAACAGCTTCCAAATGCAAAACCACACACCTGGAAACAACCCCAGACCTTTTAACTACTTACTTGATTACAGGTTAACGAGGGAAAGGCCTTTTGAGTTACTTGCAGCCTTTGGAGTCCATTGTCCAATTACTTTTGGTCTCTTGAAAAAGAGGAGGCTCTGCATTACAGAGCTATGATTCCTAAACCCTTTCTCCGATTTGGATGTGGAAACTCTCATATTGCAGCTGGGAGTGTGCACTTTCAGCCCATATTATATATAAATTGTATTTCTGAACATATTTTTGTCAACAGCTAAAATAACAAAACCTGTGTCACTGTCCAAATATTTCTGGCCCTAACTGTATAATGCTGTGTTAACACTAAATGCATTTTGATATATATATATATATATATATATATATATATATATATATAATATATATATATATATATATATATATATATATATATATACGGACTGCATTAATGGTAGTAGGAAGCGGCAGTTATTTTGAGGTGAAGAACAATAGATGCCTGCCCATAGCAATGCTTGGAAGCATTGCTATGGTGACTCACTGGTGAAGAAGGGCCAGCAGCGCATGCACTTCCTGCGTCGGATGAAGAGAGCATCCCTCCCGCCCCCCATCCTTCAGACCTTCTACAGAGAGACCATCGAGAGCCAACTGACCAGCTACATCTCCATCTGGTCTGGGAGCTGCAGGGCCTCTGACTGGAAGTCTCTACAGAGGGTGGTGAGGACAGGGAGAAGATCACGGGGGCTCTGCTCCCCTGCATCAAGGACATCGCAGAGAGGCGCTGCCTATCTCGCGCTCACCAGATCCTCTTCGACCCCACCCACCCCAACCATGGTCTGTTTTCCCCCTGGCGTCTGGAAGAGGTTCCGCAGCATCTTGTGCAGAACAACCAGACTACTGAACAGTTTCTTCCCCCGGGCCATCAGACTGCTTAACGCCACATAACACCCTCCACACACTCACAAACCAAATCACCCCCATGGACATGGTCAATACATGCACTTTAGTTTAGTTTTTTTCACAACACTGAACCTGTGTATTCTATGGCACTTGTATTGTATTTAATTTATTTATTGGTTAGTATAAGGTTTTAGCTCTGCTACACTGGTAGCAAGTAACGACATTCGTTGTCAAGATTCACCTTGTGTTTTTTTTGTACAATGACAATAAAGGAAGTCTAAGTCTAAGTCTAAGTCTGACTTGTGGAGGCCAAAGTCAGTCACTGCTCTCCTTATGCATTGCTATGGACAGGCACCAATAAATTAACTCAATGGAAAATGGCCAACTTCAAACACAAAACTGCCAGGGAAATGCTTTTTTTTTTCTTACATCACGAGTTACATGAGCACCAATCAAATGCTACTACTGAAGCAACCACAAAAACACTATGACAGATGTTGGAAGGAGGATTTCTTTTTTTTTTTCAAACAATGTGCAGCTGGCTCCACCAGAGCTCATCTGATGACTTGCTGATCAAGTCATCAGCTTATTTTCAACCATCAAAGTTCAGACATAAAGGACATTAAATAGAGTGTTTTCTTACTGGTGCCAGCCCAGGACACTCGTAGACGGTGAAATCTCCATCATTCTCCTCATCTGTTGATGCTCCTGTGTCAGGTGGTCTGAGCTCATCCCTATGTCTGCATAGGTCAAACACCCAGAGTCATTCAACATGTAACAGAGAAAACAGACCTAACAAGGCCAAGTGGACCTAACGTTAGCAGAAACAACGAGGCCCGGCAGGTGACTCACTGCTGCAGGGAAAGCATCTGTTGTTTCTGGTGCTGGTAGTGGTACATCTGGGCACTGTGGGCCAGTTTCTGGTCCCCAGGCTAAAAGACAGCAGAAAGTCAGATCAACAAGCTACCAAACTGTACAGATTACATTTTCTTTACAGAATCATGTGACTTTACTACACGTGCTTAAGCTACACTGCTGGTTAAAGGGCAGTGGCCTTATAAATCCTTGCTTTATGCCTTTAAGTAAGCAGTTGCTGGGGACATGAAGAAACATTAAATCATGTAAGTCAGGGATGTCAAAGTCAAATACACCGAGGGCCAAAAGAACGAATTTGCTGCAAGCTGAGGACCGGACTGGTTCAACGTTTATTAAAATATATTGAAATAATTGCACATAGCCTATTGAACCAAGACTTAACAAAGTGTATATTATTTAATAATTAAATGAATAAAACAATATTTTCTTATGGCTCTGTCAGTAATTTCAAGGGAAAACATTTTCAACAGGTAAACAGCAAAAAATTTGTTTTGAAAAACAAAATATGTTTCCTAATATCAAGATAAATACATAAATTAAAGTACATGCATTATAAACTGAAAATGCATTACTGTGCTGCTCTATGATGTCCATATTCTTGTCTTTGTGTTTCTGAGAAGCTTGATAGTGCCTTCGCAGACTTAGTTACTTGTTACTAGTTACTTGATTTGGAAAGAAACTAAGTTACATTAAGTTACTTTCAGGAATTGCTGACAACCCTCTCCCACCTGTGAAAATGACATTGATCTTTGCCAATACTTAACCCTCCTGTTGTCCTCGGCTCATGTTGACCGAGGACAAGCCCTTAAAAAATATTTTTTTCAATTGCAGCTGCATACAGAAACGTTAATCTAACAGTCCTGCATCAGAACTACAGTGTGCACAACTCAGGTGGAAGTTTAGGCTCAAGCAATTCAAATGTGAACTTGACAAAAGAAATAAAGATAACCAAACCCAGGCCTCAGGTCAGACTGACCCGAAGACTAAGGAAAATTCAGCTGGACAGGCAAACAGTATGGAATGGCATCATTGATCTCCGTGAAACTGATATCTTTTCAAATTTCCCCCCCTCCTATTGCCCTCGGGTTGACATGACCCGAGGACAAGCCCTTATAAAACATTTTTTTAATTGCAACTGCATACAGCAACTTGAAATCTAACAGTCCTGAATCAGACCTACAGTGTTCACAACTCAGATGGAATTTTCTGCTGCAGCAATTCAAATGTGAACTTGACGAAAAAAAATAAGAATAACCTCCTGTTGTCTTCGGGTCAAAATGACCTGAAGACAAAATTGTAAGTTATTTTATAATGGTAACATCAACAATGTGTCTCCAGTTATATGGTTGAACTGGAGGAGAGATTATTTCATGGTTACAACAGTGAAAACAAACTTTAGTAATTTCTGCATGTTTTGTGTGGTCCACTATTGTATGAAAAACTTTAAGAAGGATTTTAAAACCCCTGTCCTGCCCCCAGACTCCAGGTTGTGCACAACTTTACGGATGTTAATTTGTGGCTGTTTTCACGTTTATTGCGCTGTTCATATTAGTCTAGATGTTTGCGGTTTTCTGGAGCGCAACGCGAAGCTTGACGTCTTTCAGAGGTAAAATATTAACTTGACATGAACAATCATCCGGGAAATGACGGATAACAGACAAATTCTGGGGTTTATATCTGCTTATTAAGCCCCAAAACCGCAACCCGCAACTCATTAAATCTGCAGCGACTTTAGAAAGAAAAAACAAGTCCAAAGCCGCAATAAACGGAATTGGCAACCGAAACTCAAAATAGTTCCTTTTCAGCAACAAAATGCGCATCTCCGTCCATTGTTTCTGTCGTTGCTGACAGTGTCGCATAGAAACTGCGGTTACTCCCCAGGAGGCGCAGAGGAAATAAAATTACAAAAGAAAATAGTCACTCAAAGTGGTTTTGATAAATAACTAGTCTGACGACCTGATTTGAAATAGAAACGCGTTAGATTACTCGTTACTGAAAGAAGTGTTCACTGTTTGCCTCCCTTCTGGCCTGAAACCCTCTGTTCTCAGCGTCCACTAAACGTTGAGCCATTTTTGAGGAGGGGAATCTGAAAGCTGATCTCTGCTCTGATTGCTGATGAACAATGAAACCGCTCATGCTTCAGTGACATAGCGGGCTACCATTGCATTGTGGGGAATGTAGTGTTGGTGCGTGCAAAACGCCAGTGGGCATTTTGCAGGCCGGTTCTTATAGTAATTAAATATCATCCTGGGGGCCACAAATAATTAATTCACGCGTCGCATCCAGCCCACAGGCCTTGACTTTGACATTTGTGATGTAAGTAATCAAAATCATTCAGGGGTTTAGGACGTTAGACTGGAGTTATCTTTCCATGTTTAGCAGAAGTTAAAAGCGGTTTGAAAGCTACAAAATAAACTTTTCATAGAAAGAAACACATAGTTATCCTACTGTTGTCATGAGTGCCACTCAGAGTTTTTTCGATAATTTGTATAAGCAAATTCACATGAAATTCTAAGCTGCTGGAGCATAATTACATGTTTTTTCTGCGGAACGCCAGTGTTTTTATCCTCCTTCCCAAGTCCGACTTACAAAGTTTCCAAAGTTTTGGGTTTCACATGCAGGATAGTCCAACTTCTGAGCCTGCAGATATGCATCTCTCACCATTCTGAAACCAGAAATCAAACAATGATAACACACTTGGAGCTGACACCCATCTTCTGACACATACAAAGATAGCTAAGCATGCAACAAATTAAGACGCAGTGCAGAAGTCTTACCTGACACAGCAGATTCCAGATATGACCAAGACCAGTAAACACACTGCGATGATCACACTGGTCATAACTGAGAACACATAGCAACAGAAGATGAGAGGGAGGGAATGAGCTGCAGGTCTATGACTGTCAAAGGAAGACATGATCTCTGGAAGCTGCAGCCTCCACATTGAAGACAGCAGTGTAGCAGAACCAATGGTATGTAGTGGATCAGCTCAGTAACAAGAAATCAGAGGAGGCAACATTCACAAACAACGTCTTTGATCTCAGATGCACAAGCTGAACTTGTTGATGTTGTTAAAATGTTTCTTTAAGTCAGGAAGATGGATATTTATTGAATATAGGATTGATCCTGCCTGCACTGAGGATTGATAATCAGAAGGATTCTGCCCCTTTGCTCCCCTGCATCCATCCTTCTGCATGAATTCCAACCACCTGCTGAATCAGGAAGGGGATTTCCTTTCAAAGCTCCTAATGAGAATAAAAACTTTATCTACCTAAGTGACTGTCATTCTGAGCTCTCTTCAAGGTCACAGTCAATCCTTCATGGCTAACATAGACTTACTGAGAAACACTTGGTAGTTGGGGGGTAGGCAGTAATGTGGGGCTCGCCCAGCCGGCCGGGGCTGCAGTTGGTAGTGGAAGGTGCACTTGAAGTGCTGAGTGTGATGCTCAGGCTGCTGGTTTGGTCTGTGGGGGATCCTCTGTGTCCGGTGAGCTGCTCTGCCTTCATGTCCTGGGAGGGTGGGGCTGAGACACATGGAGATGAGCTTGGACCAAATCTAGAAGCAACCATGTTGAGGTGCAGAATTAACGCAGATGAATACTTTCAGGTACCTGGCATCCTGGACTCGGATCTCTGTTCACTGATGATGTCTGACAGGACATCAATCTCCTGATCCAGCTCAGGATAAGCCCTCACCTTACCTGCAGCAAAGCAGAGGTCAAAATCAGACCAAGAAATCAGTTAGTGACTGGGATTAATCCAATTTATGTTTGACTGGCCAAATTGCTGATTGGCTACAAACAAATAATCAAAATTAATTTCCAATCAGAGAACCCATTAACAGATTGCTCTGACAGCACTGTTTGGTTTGGAAGTAGTTACAACAGGAAGAACTTTCAAACCAAACACAGTAGTTTACAGTTACAAGCTACTATTGATATGTGGTTTAAAAGTGAAGTTTAGCCGACAACAGGAAGTTCAATGGTGACCGTCCATCCATCCATCCATCCATCCATCCATCCATCCATCCATCCATCCATCCATCCATCCATCCATCCATCCATCCATCCATCCATCCATCCATCCATCCATCCATCCATCCATCCATCCATCCATCCATCCATCCATCCATCCATCCATCCATCCATCCATCTATCCATCCACTCATCTTCTCACAAAGTGTGATGTCCATGTCAAATTAAATCTAGGACTTATTAAGGCCTTTTGATTCTCCTAATGGCTCAAACCTAAGATAGAATGAATTGTGAAAGAGAACTTGACTTGAATTAATTATTTATTATGTTGCCTATTCAATTAAGTTGATAAAGCTTTATTTAACAAACTGCATTTAAGTGTTTACCAAACTTCATCACCATTAAAGGTCACCATGCATTCGGTTGGCTGCAGGTATGTTTAGCCCACTATATACTTTTTACTGGACTACAGCCACACATGGTCTCTAACAGAGTTCTTATGTCGCTTTTATTTCACCCTTAAATGTTTCAGATCATCAAATAAATGTCAGTATAAGTCAAAATTAACAAAAGTAATTACAAAAAGTATTTTTAAAATGATGATTTCATTTATCAAGATTAGAAAAAGCTATCCACATCAATATAGCTGTTTAAAAATGTTATTGTCTGCATTGGATTAACCACTTACATTCTGGTTGTAAGTGGTTTTATGAAAATGTCTCTCCCCATTGGCTCTCTTCTGGAAGCAAATCTGCACACCTGCAGCTTGTTGGGATCATCAACCAGACAGGATTCAAGGAGCTGCCAGACCTCACCTCTCTGCCAGATTATTAGTCCCTCATGGTAGCCTCTAGCTCGCTAGACCTTCTCCTGAGAAAGTAGTGTTGAGGCGCTTACCAAGGTCAAATACACACATATGCTTCTACACACATTACACTCTCATACTTTCACACAAAGGCCTTTGTATTTGTAACAGATACAGAAACTGAATCATCTCCTCACTCCCATCTCCAAGCAAATAGAGATTTAGGTGACGCAGGACATCGGATGACCACTGGGCGTGTTCTTAGATCATAAGCAACGAATCTTCCCGTTTTTTAAACACATTCTGTATAGACTCGGGCCCCTGGTTTTCAATTCTAGTCTGTGATGGTAAGCGTCTCTTTTTTTAGCGCTAAAAAGAATAAAAAACATAAAGTCTGATTGCTTTGTGTTGGCTGATTTGCTGCTCGTGCGCTTGCACGTTTTTGGTCTATCGGGTTTAGAATACATGATGGTTTTTCACAACAGTAGTTATTTGCGACCTTCTTGAGAAAACCTCAGCTTGTTGTCTGCTTCCCTCACTCTTTCTCTGACTCTCATTCCCAGGTACAAGCCAGACCCCAAACCTGTAATCCCACCTGCAGCTCCGAACCTCACCTGCCTGCCTGCTCCAGCCTACAGTTCATTCCTGTTAGAGAAACGTACCTCAGACCTCCTGTCAGACCAACCTGCTCCTTTCCCCCTCCTATTTAGAAGCCTTCCAGGAGATGTAAGCTAATTTCTCCTGCTGTACGATCAGACATTCTCTCCACCCCTCGCACAGTCATTGACGCGCCTCTCCGCTTCCAGACGAGCCCCGGATCCGATCCAAAAGATCACCTGCAAGACACCTGTGATTTTATTTTGTAAATAAATTCTAAACTTACTGTTGCTTCCCGGGTCTGATTCTGCCTACTCTCGAACATGACAGAATCATCTGACTTTGCCAGCGGGATCTCGTCCAGCGGGATCTCGTCCAGCGGGATCTCGTCCAGATTAGTTAGTAGTCCCAGCCAGACACGAAGATGTTTTGAGACCAAGATCTACTTTTTCTCTCACCAGCCGGCTGAGATCTACCTCATGACATGAAGACATACAAATTATAAATGAAACCCTATTGACTATAATTAATGTAATTTGATATAATTGTTGTGGTAGAAGTGATTTGTTTGTTAAAACTTAATCAAATATATGTGTCCTATTTGATGTTGGTTGTGACGTTTACTGCAAATGAACGAGGTCATTAGTCCAAGTCTGTCGTTTATTGAACGTTCAGAAACTCCAGCGGCTGTGATGAAGCACAGCGAAGGTAAACAAAGGTAAAATAACCTGAACAACTCAGAACCTCTCGCACCTTTTAACTCTCTTTCTCTATTAATCGTTAAGCACACCCGTTGCCGTGGCAACCGCCTGTGCCCCGCAAGCCGAGCAAAGATTACGTTAAAAACGTTCAGTCCATTACGATATCAAGTTTCCAGGCTTTATTATTTTTTAATGAAGCTACAAAAGTTTTGGATCTTAGTGAATATTTTGAAAAGTCTGTCAGAGGAGGAAGTGCTGCTCTCAGCATCCTGGAAGTCTTCAGTTTGTCACCTGCTGCCGAGATCGACTCAAAACCTCCCCGCGATCGACCGGTAGATCGCGATCAACGAATTGAGCACCCCTGTTCTAAACTCTCTCTTCAATCAGCAGATTCACTAGAACCAGCGATTGGATCTTTGGGCAAAGCTTTTTCAGGGTATTGATCGTAATCCTTCTGATCTATGTCCACGTCCTCGCCCAGCTGGCGCAGCAGGCAGCGCAATGGCCAGATTGTGGATTCTGACCTCTGCAATTAAAAGGCAGAGCACGCAGGTAGGAGGAGTTATGAAATTTGATTCCCGTGTTACACTCTCTTGTGCTCTTGTTGATAATCAGACCCATTTCCAGATCTACGCCCTGGTTGACTCAGGATGTGAACAAAACTTCCTTGACGAGAACCCGGTAAATCAACTTGAGAACTTGGTAAATCAACTTGCCCCAATCCAGGTGTCAGCTCTTGATGGAAATTCATTGCCCAGGATAATAAAAAAAGACCCATTAATCTTTTGATTTCTGGTAACCATTGGGAGTCTCTTACCTTTTTTGTGTTCCCTTCCCCTCAGACTCAAGTTGTCCTCAGCTTTCCTTGGCTGTCTCTTCACAACCCTTATTGCCGAAAGAATAGGGTGGAGTCGTGGAGCTCTAGTTGTCTCGCTTCCTGCCTTCAATCTGCTTTGGGCCCCTCATGGCCACTGTGCTCTGAGGAGCAGGTTAGCCCTTCAGCTCTCTCAAAGGTACCTTCCAAATATCATGATCTGCACAGAGTCTTCAGTAAATCTCAAGCCTTATTACCACCACACTAACCGTATGACTGCCATCAACCTCTTACCTGGCGCACCACTTCCTTTCAGCCACCTCTACAACTTATTCGGACCTGAAAGAGAGAGTATGGAGAAATATGTTAATGAATCTCTTGCTGCAGGCATAATTTGCAAGTTTTCATCTCCTCTAGATGCTGTGTTTTTCTTTGTGGGCAAGAAGGACGGACCACTCTTACAGTTAAATACAAGTATCCTTTGCAACTCCTCACTGCAGCTTTTGAACCAATACAGGGGGCCACCATTTTCACAAAACTGGATTTAAGAAATGCTTATGACCTCATCAGGAAAAGAGAAGATGATGAGTGGAAGATGGGATTCAAAACCCTCCTAGGACATTTTGAATATTTGGTAATGCCCTTTGGGCTTATGAACACGCCAGCTGTTTTTCCAGGCACTTGTGAATGATGTCCTTAGAGACTTAGAGACTACCTGAACCATTTTGTATTTGTGTACCCTGAGTACATACTCATATTTTCCAGATCTCTCGATGAGCATAGAAGGCATGCCTGGTTGGTCCTTCAGCACCTGTTGGAAAATCAGTTGTATGTCAAAGCAGAGAAATGCGAGTTTCATGCCTCTTCCCTCACCTTCCCGGGGTTTGTCCTTGAGAGCAGGCAGGTGAAGTCAGACCAAGAGAAGATTCAAGCTCTTCTTGACTGTCCCACTCCCTTGTCCCATAAATGGTTGCAACAGTTTTTGGGTTTTCTGTTTCATAAGAAATTATAGTCAGACTGTCAGTTTCTTATTGGTCCATTAAGAAACCATTTCTCTAGTCCTCTGAGTCTGACAAAGCCTTGCATGATAAGAGGTTTTCCACTGCTCCCATTTTCACTCAGCCAAATCCATCCAGACAATTCATTCTGGAGGTTGATGCCTCAGATACTGGTGTTGGGGTTGTCCTCTCTGAAAGTTCCCTCCCAGACCCAAGCTCCATCCTTGTGCCTTTTTTTCCCATTGTTTATCTCAAGCTGAGAGAAATTATGATGTGGGGGACAAGGAACTCTTAGTTATTAAATTAGCTTTAGAAGAGTGGCGACATTGGTTCGAAGGGGCTTCATTGTATGGACTGACCACAAGAATCTGGCCTACCTGCATGAGGCCAAACAAATGCTTTAACCCAATACAGTCACAATGGTCACTTTTTTCTATTGTTTCAACTTAATAATTTCATATAGACCTGGTTCCAAAAATGCAAAACTTGATGCTCTCAATAGACAATTCTCCCCAGACCATGAAGAAACCATCACTAACATTATCCCTCAGTCTTTTGTGGTTGGGACCCTCTGTTGGGACATCCAAAGGGAGATTCAAGAAGACCAAAGACTAAAACCAGTTGCAGGGTCTGGACCTCCTTGTAAGGATTTGGGGTTTTCTCTGTGTTTTTTTTCTGTTTATTTTGAGTTTCCGTGTCTTCTGAGTCTCCGTGTTGCCCTGTTTCCCCTTGATTGTTCCCAGGTGTGTCTTGTTCCATGATTACCCTCTGTGTATTTCACTCCACCTGTGTTTCTTGTTTCGTGTCGGGTCCTTGTCTATGTGTTCTCGGTCCATTTGTTTCCTCCAGTTGCTACCGGCGTTGAGCCCTGGCTTCCGCTTAGCCGTGCTGCTTGGTTGTTGGACCTTTTTTTTGGATTGTGCTTCATCATTAAAACATTTCATCTTTTCATCTATACCTGGACCTACCGTGTTTACCTCACCACTCCGTCACTGCATTTCATGGCAGAAGGACCCGGCCAGACCATACGGTGAGGCTCGCTACCATCATGGACCCAGATGGGTTAATGTCAACCCTTAAGGACTTGACAGGCTGTGGCAAGCCCTTATTCCGCCTGCTGACGCCTGGGTTCAGTCACATGCATGGCTCTTATGTTGGAATACTGGATTTCATGCCTTCTGCACCTGGGCTTGGTGGAGTTGCAGCAGGAAGCAGAGTGGGAGCGCCTGACAGCTATAGACATCATGAGAAGTAACCCTCTGTCTCCTAAGCCAGACAGACAATTCTTCTGCTCCACCACCCCAGCTCCGTCAACTCCAGGACCGGTGCCACTCTCCGTGTCCAGAGCCGGCTGCAGCCTCTCCACGTCCAGAGTCCGTTCCCGCCTCCGCTCCTGCCCATTGTGATGGGTTTCCAGGCGGCCTGCCTGGCACCTGGCCGACAGGTGGCTTTCCCAGCCCCTGTAAGTGAGTCTCCAGCCCCAGTTAGTGGGTGTCTTCCTTCTGTCCCTCTGGAGTCCTTTCCTAGTGCCTCCTCCGAGTAACCTAGTGTCTCCCCCAAGTTTCCTCCCCAGTAACCCTTTGTCGCCCCTTACGTTCCCAGAGCTCTCTCGTTGCCCTCTAGTGTTTCCTTTGAGTCTCCACCCCACAATGTTTCCTCTGACTCTCCGCCTCCTCTTGCTCCTTCCGAGTCCCCACCTCTTAGACACTCTTCTGAGTCCCTGACTCCTAGAGATTTCCCCATGGGAAGGCCTGGCTTTTGCAGACCTTTTAAGGGGAAGGTCAAATCAATCAATCTGTCTCAACAAAAACTGAAATAATACTAATTCAACCTGGCAATTAAAGACAAAAGAATAGCAAAACCTGGGGTTGCTATTAGTTACATTTTACTTCAAGTTCGTTCGTTCCATCCATCCATCCATCCGTTCGTCCGTCCGTCCATCCGTCCATCCATTCATCCATCCATCTTTAGTAGTCCCAGCCAGACACGAAGATGTTTTGAGACCAAGATCTACTTTTTCTCTCACCAGCCGGTTGAGATCTACCTCATGACATGAAGACATACAAATTATAAATGAAACCCTATTGACTATAATTAATGTAATTTGATATAATTGTTGTGGTAGAAGTGATTTGTTTGTTAAAACTTAATCAAATATATGTGTCCTATTTGATGTTGGTTGTGACGTTTACTGCAAATGAACGAGGTCATTAGTCCAAGTCTGTCGTTTATTGAACGACAGACTAAAAACACAAAAATGCAAAGTCATAGAAGACACATTGCCTCTCATTACCCACTTTAATTTCTGACCACTGTGGGGTCGGGAGATGCTGGTGCCTCTCAAGCGAACATTCTGGGCAGAGGCGGGGTTCACCCTGGACAGGTAGCCAGTCTGTCACAGGGCAACACAGAGACAGACATGACAAACAACCATGCACACACACACACCTAGGGAGAATTTAGAGAGACCAATTAACCTGACAGTCATGTTTGTGGACTGTGGAGGAAGCCGGAGTATCTGGAGAGAACCCACGCATGTACAGAGAGAACATGCAGACTCCATGCAGAAAGACCCCGGGCCGGGTATTGAACCCAGGACCTTCTTGCTGCAAGGCAACAGTGCTACCAACTTCAAGTTTTAAAGCCATAATATTCAGCTAGGAAAGTGAGAAGTTATGTCTGACTTGCTACCAGCAGTTTTCCAATCACCTACCTTTAGCAGCCTGAGCAGAATGATGAAGATGTCTTCTCTTGTCGACACAGCGGCCATGATGATCCTCCACCAGAGGGTACAGGCAGGGCCCGCAGTGTGAGCTGCCTTGTCGGCAGAAGTGCCGTCCTGCTCGGGCACAGTCCAAACTGCGTGGACATAAGTTAGAACCTGAGGAGGAAGACACAGCACAGGTTGGACATGCTCAAATGTCCCAGCTGCTTAAGTTTTAAATTGTAACAACTTAAACAACTGTGGTTTTGTTGGAGCCTGTTAAGAATTAGATTAAGTTCGTGCTCACCACAGCACGGAGACTGGCCTCGTAAAAGCTGAAAGTGCTTTAAATGTATCTGATACGGACTGCATTGTCTGCATAAAGGAGGTTAATGCTTATTAACAAAGTTTTTGAAGGGCCCAGTAGGTCAATCTCCATTGGCTGAGGTTTGTAGGTTGAATATAACATTTAACTGAATTTTGTAGGTTAAATGTCACATTTAACTGAGCTTTGTAGATTAAATATTACATTTGGCTGAGTTTTGTAGGTTACATATAAAAAATGTTTGCATGTTGCATGACTCATGTAAAAAAAACCTTTGAAATGCCTTGCTGCTGAAATGTGCTACACAAATAAAATTTGATTGATCGATTGATTAAACAAATTGCGTTTTGTGGTGGAAGTTGCGCCAAAAAATCACACAAAGCCTCATGGGGGCTCGCAATAAGGTGTAGAGATGAGCTGGGTTTGAGGCGGGCCTCCTCCTCAGCAGGTTCCTTAGATGGCACCTACAAGGACACACCCGCAAGATAAACATTTCACACAGACAAAGGTTCTTTTATACACTCTAGAATTCAAAACATTAAAGAAAAACATACTGTGTCTTAACACCTGCTGATTCTGATTTTGGCTAATACTTATTTTTTTTTTCTGTAATGTTGCTAAATATAACAAGAAAGTTGCTGAGTTGGCAACAGTGAGACAACTGTTGTTAACTGAAAGCGGGTTTGTCAGTCAGACTCTGACAGCAGAGCAATAAAAGACTGGTTGACTTTTAGACTTTTGGCAAGGTAGATAGGATCGGTGAATAAAATCGACTTTATATGTAAATGTTGGCTGATCAAAGATCTCCAAAAATTATGAAAATCAGGCCATTTTATTAGCTGGCTGATTTATCAGTTGATGAATTTATCTGCACATTCCTAATATGCTGTTATATGTTTTTATAGAACTTGTGTTGGTGTGACTGAACAATGTCCACGTACACTGAAGTGAACTGAACAGATTCTGGAGGTGCTAAACATACAGCAGCCACATCATTTTCAGTCTGCCATCAATATTAACCGCTTTGCTTGAGTTTCCTCATTGAGATCTCTCCCAGTAAGATCACTCCCAGCTCCACAGGAAACCTGGACCTAGGTTGCCATGACAATTGCCATGGCAATTGAGGGCAGTGACATCATCAGAGGGAGCTGACTCATTGCAAGAATACACAAATCTTGAATGGTTTGTCTCAAGCAGGAGTTTCACATTAAAATGCAGGAATGAGAAAAACAATCATGAAACTGCTCCTCACAAATACACTGCAGGGAAATAGATGTTAGAATTGCTGCATGTTGGGGTGCTGTGGTGGCCCAGGGGTAAAGCACATCCCATGTATGAAGTCCTCAATCCAGACGTCACAGGTTCGAGTTCTGGCCTGGCGACTTTGCCTCTCATTACCCACTTTAATTTCTGACCACTCTCAAATTAAGACAGCCTGAGCCAAAAAAGCCTTTAAAAATAGTTGCTGCATGTCTTGCAGCCGAAAGACATGCAAGACATGTCAAACTTTGAAACATTAGAAACTCAACAGCTTTTTGATGAAAAGTGAACTGAACCCACTTAATCTATGTAAAGCTTTATTGCAGGATGTTGCAGAACAGAAGACAAGATAATAAATACCCTGTGAGTGCCCTATTTCTCTTAACCACGAAGATCCTGTTTGTTAGAGAGGAAGATGAGGTCCCAGCTGATTAAAATCTAATTTTAATTGTACAGCATCTTTCAGCAGCAAGGCATTTGAAAGTGCTTTACATCATAAAAACACAAAAATGCAAAGTCATAGAAGACACAGTCAACATTACATTTTTTAATGTTTCATGGTTATGTTTCAAAAGCAACTCTGAACAGGTGGGTTTTTAGCCTAGATATGAAGGTACTCAGTGTTTCCGCTGTCTTGCAGTTTTCTGGAAGTCTGCTCCAGATTTGTGGTGCATAGAAGCTGGATGCTGCCTCTCCATATTTGGTTCTGGTTCTGGATGCAGAGCAGAAAAAGAACCAGAAAAACCTGATACGTCTGAAAGGTTGATACAACAACAGCAGATCTTTAATTTTTAAAACTGGGTGATGTGCTCTATCTTCCTGGTTTTAGTCAGACGGCAACAGTGTTCTGGATCAGCTACAGCTGGATGATTTTTTTAGGCAGACCTGTGAAGACGCTGCTGCAGTAATCAATGCGACTAAAGATAAACACATGGACGAGTTTCTCTACATCTAGCTGAGACATTAGTCCTCTAATCCTGGAAATCTTCTTCAGGTGATAGAAGACCGACTAGTTATGGTAGCTAATCTTACTTCCTGTCATAACTTGAGCAAATGGGATCATATAGATATTGAATAAGAGGGTCCTAGGATTTAACCTTGGGGTACACCACATGTGACTTCTGTCCGCTTCAATGAGAAGTTTCCTATTGAAACAAATAAATCCCTATTGTTCATGTAGCAATAGGGTTGAGTTCTGGACCGGAGAGTCCAACCCAACTCTCCAGTGCTTTCAGTAATAAGTCATGGTCAACAGGCTCAAAAGCTGCACTGAGGTCTAACAGAACCACCGCTGTGGTTCTTCCACAGTCTGTGTTTATATGGATATCATTAAACACTTTGACTGGGCTTGTCTCTGTGCTGTGGTGAGACCAGAAACCAGATTGTAAGACGCCAAAGCACTTGGCTATCATTAGGAAGCCATTTAACTCTTCAAACAGCTTTTCAATAACTTTGCTGATGAATGAGAGGTTGGAGGTCAGCCTGTAATTCTGCAGTAGTGATTTGTCCAGATTGTTCTTTTTTACTAGTGGTTTGACACCTGCTGATTTTAAAGCCTGAGGGAAAAGGCTTGATGAGAGTGACGAGTTTACTATTTGGACCAGATCATTAACAATGATAGACAAGAACTTCTTAAAGAAATGTGTAGGTGGGATATCCAGACAGCAGGAACTTGAGCTTAACTGACATGATTTCTTCTAGGCTTTTAGACTTAAGTTCCACCGGCTGCAATATCACTTCATGTTTTTAGTTTACATGACAGGCAGCTTGTAATGTAAATGGCTATAGTTTGCCGTCTGTAAAGTCGTTACTATTGTAAAGAAGTCATTGTTTGACGGTTAATCGGGACAAAATAAGTTTTATGGGCAATTTTGTCCCTATATTGTAAAATATTTTAGTTTAACTACACTCTTTTTTTATTATTAAATTTTGATCAACAAATGTTGGTTGCAAGATATGGGTTTGAAGCTGTAATATCTGTGTAATATTAGTGTATATTAATCATATCCTATCATTTTCAGGAGCAGTGACCTGTGCAGTTCGGTGGACACATTGTGGCTGCGCTGCATCTGATAAATGTGACAGAATGGACATGAGAAATAATCACACCCCCTCACCTTTTTACTTTATTTAAGGACTGTAGACTGTACTCCTAAGTTGCACATCTACTGATATATTAAACTGCAGTTACAGCAGTTCGCCACCAGCTGGCACATTGACCACAGTGAGCACTCCTGAGAGCGAGCCAACAGCAATTTAGTGCAGTAACGGCTGGTCAGCGGAGGTGCTCACTGACACTCTTGTCAACAATGTTCATCGAATAAAAGAACCTGCGAAAATCATATTGACTAATCATTAAGTGTGCAACATAAAGAGTGTTATACAATGGATTAAAACGCAAAAAAGAGTTGCGGTGATCGGTATTTGTAGATGTTTGTGTTTAATTTAATTCCAATTAAAACCTGTTTCCCCTGTATTTCATACACTTTTCTGATTCAAATATTTTTAAAAAGGTAGGATATTCTAATAAAAGGATTAGTGCATACATCTACGATAGCTTTTGATTTTAATTGGGTAGAATATTCAGATAAAGGTAGTGATCTTCTTGTGGTTTTGTCATGTATATAAATTGTTCCAATGCTAAGCATAACTCTTTAGCTTCCACTTCAGTTCTGTCACTCAAATAATGTCATCCAATGTATTCAACATTAACACAATCCGCTGTGGTTTTTCATTTGTAAATATGAAGTAGCAGTTTTGGACACATCACCAACAGATACTTAGCTATCTATCCGTGCTACGGTAGGAAAATCTGATGAGGTAGCACTGATAGTCAAAACACCGGGTCTGTGGAAATGTGTTCACTTCGAGCAGGACCGGGCCGAGCCAAGCTGCTGAAGTAGAGCAGGTGGAAGAAAGGCAGTTTTTATGTTTGGGCATAGCATTGGTGCTGGATTTAGTGTGGGTTTGCAGATTAAACTTCTGAGTTTTTTTTGTATCTTCTCTTCAAAAAAGATGACAAATTGGTTGCAGGCTGCATTAAGATTGAAATTCAAGCGGTAACGTCACTGGAGGGTTTGTGAGCCTGTCAGCTGTTACAAATGAAGCTCAAGCTTTGTTAATGTTTTTACTGATGATATCTACAAAGGACGTTTCCCTTACATGTCTTATTGTTGAGTGATAGCTACGATGTCTATCGTTGTAGGTTTCATAATAAATGTGAAGTTGAGTTTTACACCATTTACGTTCGGCCCTATGGCAAAGTTGTCTAGCAGATCTACCTTTTTGTGCATTTCTCCATGAAAACTAGCTCCTCCCAGACTCAACCTTTGCTTTGATGGGGACGATGAAATCAATGATGTCTGAAAATTTAGAATGGAGAATATCTACCATGTCTAGTTAAGAATATATTTATAAAGCAGTGAAGGAAAAAAAACAAGTCTGCAAGAGAGCAGACAACAGAAGGAAACAACACAGTGACACAATACAACATAGTTGAATGCAAAATAAAATAGAATATAATTATTCTTATACTGAGAACGCTTATTTGGAGAAAACCACTTTTGGACTAGATTAAATTTGGATTGTAAAAAAATAAATAAAATGGTGAGATGTCAGAAATGGAGACATAAATCATCTGCATATAAGTCAAAAACAGATATGTGAAAGATCATCAAAGAATATGGATGATAGATAATACCTATGGAAGATGGTGAGATGGAAGGAAGCACACTGACTTCTAGAATGACTAAAACAGTTCAAAAATAAAGAATCGTAGAAAGACTGAGAATTTATGTAAAGGTAGATAGTAACCATCCATCCATCCATTTTCTGATTACCCTTCTCCCTAACGGGATCGGGAGTTGCTGGTGCCCATCTCCAGCTATGTTCCAGGCGAGAGGCAGGGTATACCCTGGAGAGGTTGCCAGTCTGTCACAGTAGATAGTAATCAACCATGTCAAATGCTTTGGCCAGGTCAATGAACATTGCAACTGCAAATATCCTGCTATCAGAAGTTGATTGGATGTTGTTATGTTTAAGAAAAGCAGTGATCATTATTTGTTTTAAAGGATTTATTGGCGCTATTGGCGGATTTATTTGAGAGTAGTCCGACAGGAAGATGGGTATTGAGAGAGGGGGAAGACATGCAGCAAAGGTCATCAGGTTGGGTCTTGAACTTTTGACAGCCATGTCGAGAACTAAGGCCTCATTGCATGTGCTGTAATTTACTGTACCACCATAGCAGCCCGTCTGGCTGAGCAGTGATAGTTGAATAACTTGGCCTAAATCCCCATTGGTGTGGAGATAAATTATACTCATCTACATATTCAGATAGCAGATGATTGTTTTTCTTTTTTTTAGTTTTTTCTTTTGCTATGAGGTATTATGTATTTTCCAGGCTCAGTTGTGATTGGCTATATATTTTACTCACCCATTGCTAAGACAATGCAACATGTTGAATATTCTGATTTTAGACTGGAGTGGTTCCAAAGGCCCTTTGAGTGGAGTAGATCACGATCAACACAACACATGGCAGAATATCTCTTACAATTATCTTAAGAGCCTTCCCCTCCTTAAGATTCTCAGAAGGGGGAAATTGAGACAGAAATTGGAATAAAAATCTTGTTACGTGAATTAGGCATTGTGACGACCCCTCCACTTTGCATGAGGGAGTTTGTCCATTGACATTAATTGTTCTTTATTTTCAAGGCATATCGGAAGTAATGTCATCCAGGTTGTGCTTGGGCCCCGTGTTTTCTGGCTATACAAGAGCCATGCTCCTATTTATCAGGGAGGTCTGGTGGAGCTCACTTGGGGCTGAGCCGACTTCTCCGCCCGGCTCAGCTTTTCAGGCTGGCTCTTGTTTGCCCACCCTGACTTTGCTTTGCTCTTCTTTTACAGGATTCCCTGTTTGGAGCATCTGCTTTTGGGCAATGCCATCACCAAATGGGCCTCCTGCTTATTTGTCTTAGTTTTCTTTTATGTTTGGTGCTCAATAAAGAGTGTAATTATTGTTGAAGTTTGTGTCTCCCTGTTTTTTGTTATGGCTCAACGAGCCGGGTCGTAACAGGTATCAATGTCCACACTGTTGAACAGGTCACATAAAAAGCAATAATAGCTATTCAAAAAAAAAAAGACTACAAAGAAGAAATAAACATCTTTTTTTAAAAATTGTCATTATCACAATACTACCACAAAATACTTGAAGGTAAACCCACAAACCTACCACTGAAGAAGCCTTGAAAAGAAATGCCCAGTCTCCATTACAAAGACATGGTGACATCACATTCAAGCTCTTCAGTTGACACAGGAATGTGTTCCAGAGAGCAGCCAGATGATGGTCGAACCCCTCACCTCCAGATAACAGAGCCTGACACAGGTCCGGCATGATGAAAACATCTCCTCCAGGCCGTTCCCTAAGCTCCTCTGTTTCCCTTTTCATTCCTAGCAGGAACTCTGTCATACTTTCTTCTTCGCACATATAAGACACGTCACAAGGAGAGACGGCCACAATGGCACCAGCTTGTGAACAGCCATTGGTTGTGATAGCATAAACTTAGAGGCCCAAAAGCTCCACAACTGAAAAGATTCCGTACTGACATTTCTCTGATAGACTCATTTGACCACTTTTAATATGGTACTTTAACTCTCCAGTCATCCTCTGGTGATGGGGCAGTAATAAGAATACCACCATAAAATCTAAAACTGAAACATTTCTGTTCTCAACTTCAGGCACGCTTTAAATGTTTTGATACTGTCTACTAATATTTTTCTTGCACTAACAAATTTTACAGCTCGCCACAGAGTTCAAATTAAACTCACAAAGCTAAATTATTTCCCCTAAAACTAAGACACCAAGAGCAGTTTATGAATAATTTGATGGTCATCAACTGTGTTAGGTCGATTTGACTACAGACTATTCCTTTAATTTAGTGGCTGAACATGAAAAACCAAGTATTCCTGCTTGATATGGGTGAGGAACAGTTAACTGCTATTCTAAAGGACAAGGAAAATAAAATAGAACAACAGAATATAGACTTTATTCAACGCTGATCAGCTGGACAGGAATGAAAGCCAGCAGCTAAAGTGTTGCCAACTCCAGACTGAAGATAGTACCCAAATATGATGGAGCCATATCAGTGTAGCGGACACACTGACCTCAGTAATCTACAGCAGCAGAGCAGCATTCAGAAAGCTCTCAAGATATCTCACCTAGCTCCTGACACCACCCAGCAGCCCCGACGGCTCTTTCTTACCTGTTAGGCAGGTACTGAGCGCCAACAGGGCCGCAAACACCGCAGTTCTGCCGCGCATCGGAATCCGCATCCAGGCCTCAGCTCCAGCGGCGGACGCGGCGGGCGAGGATCGAACAGAATAGGCGGAGGAAAGAGAGAAGGAAGATCTTGCGGAACGGAGTCGGTCTGGATCATCCCTCCATCCCCTGTCCTCTGTCGAGCTGAGGAAACAGGAGTTGATCGGAGCGGGTCTGTTGTGTTGTGGATCTATCTGATCCTCTTGACTCTTCTTCTGATGCTGCCACTGAGCTCGAGTTAAAGATCAGAAGCGTGTGACGCAAAGACGCTGCTTCCTCACTGAAAAAAATAAGTCATTGGATGAACATAAAAAAAATATGGAAAGGATTTCCACCTGATTACTTTGCTTTATTTCAGCACCATGTACTTGTGTTACTCCTATTTAAAGCAAATGTGTTAGGTCAACCTAATTTATTAAGATTATTCCAATGTAAAGCAAATGTGTTGGCTCCACTTGTTACAATGGTGATTCAATGGGTGATTCTAAATCAAACATGTTGGCTCAACGTAATATATTGTGGTTATTCTTATAAATAAAATGAGTTGGCAAAACATAATTCATTAAGGTTGTTCTAATTTAAACCAAATATGTTGGCTTAACCAGAATTATGGTAAGGCAATGGATGATTGTAAATCAAATGAGTTGGCTCAACTCCATTCATTAAGGTTATTCAAATTCAAATGAAATGTGTTGGCTCAACGTATTTTTTAAAGGTTCCTTTAACTCAGTTACTATAGCGTGACCCAGTGTAATGTAATACAGCCAGCCCAACTAATCTGCAATGTTTAGGACCAAATCATTGATGTAACTTCATTAAGATGAATGTAAATCTAGTTGAAACCACCTTATTTTACAGTGGTACCTTCACACTACTTGATTCAGTAGGTCCAACTCACTAAAAGCAAGTTAGCTCAACAAATATGCTTCATGCTAAAAGACAGCTAGTTAATCGTGTGGAAATCCTTTCCATTATTTCATGACGTTAATTCAAAGACATATTTTCAAGCGTTAATCAAGCATTTTAAGACAGCACTAGGTGAAAGTGTAGGAAGAACACTCAACAATTAGAAAAGGTACAACACAATTGTATTTTCAGAATTGTTATACATCGTTTTTTTACACAGCACAAAACACAGCCGAGTTGGACATTGAAATAAAAAACAACTACAAAAGGTTACAGTTTCATTTCCCAGCCAATTCTTTACAACATAAAACATGTCAGTATAGTTGCTCAACTTAGAGAACTGTAACAATATAAATCTTTTCTACTGCAGACTTTAAACACTCATTTTCCATATGAAACTTTACTCAACTTAGCAGCGAGTTTCATATTGAGAACTTGTGCTTTCTTTGATAAGTTTTTCCATCCAATTTCATTATTATTTTCTGTATTACTTCAAAGGTATGCTTGAGTTACTGAGCAAGTTGAGTGCTGAACGCACTAAACTTGAGGGTAGCTCAAGTTTAGTGCGTAGATTAGTCCCAGCAGCATCACTATTGCAGAAGATACACTGCCCAAGCTGTTCATAACTTCCACCTCCTCCAGGACAATCCCAACATCCAGATGTGCATCGGCAGCCTCTGCTCAAATGACGATTCCGAGGACAGTCTCGGCTTTGGCCATTTCATTCATCAACGTCCTAAGGGAGTTAGGGAAGGGTATTGGGGGGGAGACAATTCACATGTAATTAAATAAATAAATTAAGACTGACATTGATTGAGTCACTCATGGACCTTAGTTGGTGAAAGTATTTTAACAACTCTTAGGAGTTCTATTGTAAACACAAAGAGAATTTAACATACCATGTACTCCCTCACCAGCTTCTCTGGATCTTCATTTAGGTACACACAGACCTTTGAGGATGCACTCTCGTCTGACCTCAGCAGTGTCTTCCTAAATATGCAGATCAAAAAACAATGAGAACAATCTCAAAACTCCAGCAGTATAGGTTCACACACTTGAAAACATAGCTACATTCAAAGGAAGTCACAACAAAAGTGATCAGTGGCTTGCAGTCTATTTGAAAGATATTTAAAATTGCTAGTATCCCTTCATCATGCCATGACTAAAATGGAGTTTAACATCTCATTTAAACATCTAACTGAAGCTGTTAGAGGTTTAAATAAAGACATGAATATATCACCAAAGAAATATGTGAAAAGTACAGAATGGTCAGCACAGTCTATATCCTTCTACTTAATTGAATATGCAAAGCATTCCATGTCTTACAAGTACATGGACAGTCTATGTGTGGGCATGGATAACGTCGCATATGCCGGTGTTTAAGTGTAAAATGTTTTAACAGGTCATATCTACGAGACAGAGAGAGACTACACTCCTTACATTTCCACATCCCCACGCAAATAAAGACAAATAAAACAGACTGGCCAAATAAATGTTTAGCTGAACCCTAGCTTTATAAGCTCTCTAACACTACATTTAAGTAACTTTAGATCTGGCAAAACTTACTATTAGCCACTGCAATCTATAACTTGATAGCCGATGAGCCCCTTGACCAGTACTTACGCAGGTGGATTACAGACAGGTGATGTTCTGAAAGAGATCAGATATATTTTCAGCCATTAAAATATGCAATTCATACTGAACTGAGTTGTATCTTTTAGTACAAGTCCCTTGAATGCCTCATGAATATAACCACTGGACACTTGTATGCAAGCACATATGTGCAGAACAATGGTGAATTGAACATGGTAGAAAGCAATAGTAACATAGGTCAAAATGAGCACAAACAATCAACACAAAAAACATCAACATTTCAAAATTAAACCAATGAACTTCAATATTGTTTCTGAGCTACAATTATTTGGGGACAACAAAGAAGAGTCCAAAAAACCCCAACATCTTTACAGCAGAGGAATATGTATTTTAAAGAAAAAAATAGAAAGCTCAAGTCTGTAATAATGGATAATCCATTGAGAGTTTTAGCCTGACAAAATATACTAGAAATCCATAACTAACAGGTATTTAAGGAACATTTAACAAAGCTCAGAAAGCAATGCTTTCTGCAGGTTTCACCGACTGAAATGTAGGACTTTTTATTACCATAATTAATTAAGAATCTCGATGATGATAGAAATGTACCGAAGTGTGTGTATCTACATTTATCTCCATAGTAACATTACTGAAATAGAATTAAATAGTTAGAAATAGACTGATGTTAGATCAGTGTGTTAAAAATCCACTAAACCTCCAGGGAGCTCAGGAGGAGCAAAACTGTGACATTTCTGGGGTCCATTTGTGTCTCTGGCAGCAGCTTTGTACACTACATATGGCTCTGCAGACTTTTTTCGCACAGAATGTACCTAACATGGTGCGGCGATAAATGTAAACTTACCAATGATATCACATATAGCTATCTGCCTTAACCTAACCGACTTAATTTACAGAACATGAAATAATGTGACACAAGTATGGAACAAGTAGAAAATGGTGCAAATGGTAGAGAAATTTTAAGTTACATATTTTATATGGATTTAGATGAAAATAGTTTGACTCTTACCTTCCTCAAATTAAGTAGATGCACGCCAGGAATCTCCCCTCTGCCCTTGAAAAAACCCAACAAGGTGCAAGCCAGTTATCTCGCGTGATTTTCCGTAATCTCTTGATGTCGCTGGATCCTCTTCAGCGAGAGATGAGTTTGACACAATAGCGCTTTGGAACTGACGTCCCTGTGTTTTTTTTTTTTATTAGATTAACTTTGACAAATATTGATATTGAATAAAATAAAAAAACACACACACACACATATATATATATATATATATATATATATATATATATATATATATATATATATATATATATATATATATATATATATATATATATATATATATATATATATATATATATATATCTTGGCACAGCCAAGATACTGCGCAGGACCCTCAAGCTCCCAGGCCTCTGGTAGACGCCTGGGAGCTTGAGGAATTAGATGTATTCAAGTTGAGATAACGTCATTCAATCACGTTAGTCCAGTTGAGAAAAAACCGATTGTCTCGCGTGTTCTCGCGTGATATCCCGTGATCTCACTTGTTGTCGTCAGCACAATATCAGTCTAACTATAATGAATCATGTTAGCTCAACATGATTCAATTTTATAAATGTGAAGTCGTGGAATATCTTGTTTATCCAACATGATTTTATCACGTTTTCGCTTCAAACCCAACATTATTGTGTGAAAGGTACATGATATTCTTTTGTTAATGTAATACGCCCCGACGTTCTTTTTTTTTGGCGGAAGATATAGCTGACGTAACTGAATCACGTTATCTCACCTTGAATACATTTTATTCCATTTGCGAGAAAAACCGATTGTCTCGCGTATTCTCGCGTGATATCCCGTGATTTCCCGTAATCTTGCGTGAACTTGCGTGATATCGCGTGATCTCACTCGTGGTCTTCAGCATAGGATCGGTCTGACTATAATGAATCATGTTCGCTCAACATGATTCAATTTTATAAACGTTGAAGTTGTGGAATATCTTGTTTTATGCAACATGATTGTATCATGTTTTTGGCTCAAACATGCAATTATTTAGTTAACAGTACATGATATTCTTTTGTTAATGTGATAACCCCTGAGGTTCCTTTTTTACAGTGCTCCTCCACTGCCCACAGGCAGCCGCACACAGATATCTTATGTTCACTCATACTGACAGGATAAAATTAGTTACTTACTCCAAACTGAACTGCTAAATAATTATTTGAATTAGTCTTTATTGGAAAATTTGGTTCAAAATGTAAAATGTAAAGGTGAACCGTCTGTAATTGGTGTAACCTGGCCACATATTAGTTCAGAATGACTGGGCATTCTGATAAGTATTTAGTAAAAAATAAATTATATATAGTTAACTTAAAGTGTGACTTTTTGAAACAATTAATTTTGTGCTTAGTGTATTTTAATAGTATTTAAATTGTATTAAAGTACAATCTAAAGAGCACTAAGTATACTTCAACTTACTTTTTTGCGCAACTTAAGTTGAACTTAGTATAGGCTACATAAGTATTTTGTTTTTTATGTAATATAAATATGCTTGATTAGTATTTTTGAGTGTATTATCTTTGTGATTAAATTGCATTTAAAATATATTTTCAGTATATTGGCATTACATATTTTACATATTAGTGCAATTACAGTATGCTACAATTACACATTTGGTTTATTAAAATTGCTAATGAAGTACACTTTTTAGTTACTTAATGTATTTTATTCTGCTTTGCCATTTTGAACAATATATGCTTCATACACACTGCAGTGTTGCAAACACATTAATCTACCAGAACACAGGTAGATTAATGTGTTCTTTACAGGTGAAACATTGTGCTTTCAATGTACGGTATCACCATTTTGGTAACACTTTATTTGATGGAGTGTGCATAAGACTAACATGACACCTGCCATCCAACTTTTAAAGCAACTTCTTATTAAAAGTGTCATTATTTACTGAATAACACCTGTTAGTATGTTATGTGAAGTAGATTTTTCTTTAAAGAGAAAATCTTTTATTTGCATCATACAGTAACATAGTCTAGATGTTTTTTCATGCAGCTGCAGAAGGTGTACAAACTAAGTGAACAAGATGTGTCTGTTGAAGTTTCCCAGACAGGTTATCTGGGAACTTGCTGTTTTAACCGAGGTCTTCCCTGCATGGAGATAGAGTGTTTAGTTTTAGGGCCATCCTAATGCAGTGGATTTTGCTCTCTGTCTGCAGATCTATTAAAGATTTCTTTTGCTCCCTGATTTTTGTCTGGACCTCAGTCTCTGAATTGTGCACTTCACAGTTCCTAACAGGTGTTATGACATGTTTATGACAGTATCTTGTCCGTCTTATTCACACCCCATCAAATAAAGTGTTACCCACATTTTTCAAGAGTACATTGACAATACACTATCACAGAATTGTACAAATTGTCAATATAGTCATAATTTACAGACAAAATGCTAATGAAATTTATCACAATAAAACAACAGGTATACATTAGAGAAAATGTAAAAAATATTTCACCATGGAGTATTGTTTTAATTTAATGTCACAGTATTCCAGTAATACTGCAGACAAACTGACATTTCTCCTTCCTAAGAACAATGAGGATCAGCAGAACATTCCCATTCACTGGACCACTGCACTTTACAGAAACCTACAAAAAGAACAACAAAACAAATAAACAGATAAAGCACTAGTACAGAAAAACAGCAAAGAAAAAATATGACTTACAAGTTCAAGACCTTGTGGACTTGCTATATATGTGACATTATCAGAATTGATGATGATTGGGACCGGATGCCTGGGGTGGAAAAACATTTCTGCGTGTCTTCTTTGCCTGTTTTTGTTAGAAGTAGAAACTTTGACTTCCACTGAAAAGTATAATGTAATTTGGTTAGTTTACCAATGTTGAATTTTTCCAATCTACTGAGTTGACAGCATTGGTTTTGAAAGATTAAATTATTTAATTTATTTTCATTTATTGTAGTACTTGCCTTTTTATTTGACATGCAAGTTGATATTTATCATGAAATCCTTTGAGTCATAACAGATGTTTAAAATGCAAAACAAAGTCAACCTATCGACAGAAATATAAACACATTTTTGCAATAGTTATCGCTCCAAGAAGTAGCGATAACCCGTTGAAAGATGGCAATTATATTAATGCGTCGGTTTTAAAAAAAGGCGGTAGTTAAGGGAAACAGTTGTTTCAATTGTTTCAGTTTATTGATTTATTGTTCACGTAACAAATCCGTGTATGACTTTCAACTGGAAAGATTTAAAATACTTAATAATTATGTCCTAGTTTGTTCAGGAGAAAGCGTCCTTATTCCAGCAGGTGGCAGTGTTTTTCTGTATATACCAAACTCTGTCTTCGAAGAAAGCTAGTAGGAAGTAAGCTTGTATTTTCTCATCTCACCAGAGTAGCATTCACAGGCTACTGTGGCAACATAATTCCGGTTTTGCATTTTAGTTGGTAAGTTGAATTTCTTTCCACTACTCCCAATTCTCGTATCAGCGTATTTTGTTTTCATAAAGAAAATATCTCGTTTCCTGCGATGCCGTTTTAAAATGTTTTCCTTGTTTCCGTTTCGAAAGGATTTTACGTCAGTGGTATTACAAACAAAAGTCGTGTCAACAAATATAAATGGTTTTCCAATCATTATTCTTTGAAATTTCAGTTGCGCTTAAATCAGTTTTTATACTTTTGTATGTCATAAGAACTATAGCACAAAACTTGTGAACAGAAATAAGAAAACATATGACAGACGAGTCAAAAGTAATCATACCATTAATTTCGTTCATAGCATTATCTTTACAATGGAATAACATTAAAGACAAGCAAGTAAGATCGAGGCATATAGCTAAACCAATAGGAAGAGCCAACCAAATTCTACTGGATAATGGTCACCTGAATGTTACATTTAGTCTCTATTCTGTGTTTCCATCTCAGAAACGTCCAAGAAATGCCTCTGCCAAGATTGTTGATGGTGGTTACAGGAGACGATTTTGGCTACTGCCCGAGAAGGAACCAGGGAATCGTGGAGTGCTTTTTGGCCGGAGGCATTTCCAATGTATCCCTGCTTGTTAATGCCTCGGCTGCCAAAGAGGCAGCTGGCCTGGCTCGCAGGTAGAGTTATTCCACTATATTTTTAAAGATTCTAACACAGGCAAGGTTAGGTTTTAAATATACAATTGAATGGGAATTTAGCTTTTCTCCTACCCCCGATTTTGCTAATTTAAATACAATTTTTTACATTTAACATCAAATTAAATTAGTATTTAGATATTATAATTAAATATTTTAATTAATTAATGTTCTTAATTCTCACTAAATGCACAATGAACTTTGAAGTGGCTTTATGTCAGCGTCTGTGGTGGCCAGTTCATGTGTGAAGATGATATCTCACAAGCTCCTTGAATCATTTAATAGTAAATATAACCGAGAGGAATCCTGGGATCAGCATCTTAAAATATTTCCTAGCAATGAGGGGGAAAAAAATACCGTCTTCCCCTAAATTAGTCTGACTACAATTCTAATGATTTGGGAATATTTTGTTAAAAGAAAAATAGACTCAACAACATCTTCCTCCCAAAAGCAATTAACACCCTCAATGCTCACAATACACCATTTATGAGGCTTTTTTATGTGGGTATGAATGAATGTCTAAATTTAGCAGATTTAATATTGTGAATCATGTCATCACATTGACTTCTATTTGTTTGTGCATTGGAGCTGACTTTAATCTCATTGTGCCAACAGCAAATTCTAATTCTAAAACATAAATAAAAGTAGAATCATGTTCAACCTAGTTGAATTCACTGTAAAAACAAGATATTTAATTTTCAAATGTGTTTTTTTTGTTGTTGTAAATATTAACTTTTTGGCAACACATTCCAAAAAAGTTGGGACAGGGTCATGCTTACCACCTTGTTACATTACCTTTCCTTGTAAAAACACTCTGTTTGCTTCAAGTTCAAGCATAATTGTTGGAGCTTTGTATATGGATTTCTTTCCCATTTTTGTTTGATGTGCAACTTTTGTTGCTCAGCAATTTAGGATTACTGTTGTTATATGTTGTGCTTCAGACGGTACTTTTTGCACGGGAGTTGCAATAGAAATTTCGTTGAATCCTGTTCAATGACAATAAATGCTATTCTATTTTATTCTATTCTATTCTATTCTATTCTATTCTATTCTATTCTATTCTATTCTATTCATAATGCGCCATACCTTTTAAATAGGAGACAGGTCTGGACTGCAGACAAGCCAGTCTAGTACCTGCATTCTTTTACTATTGTTGTGGAAATTTTCCTTTAACAAAGAGTGAGGTATAACTTTTTCAAGAACCAGAGAAAGAATATATTCTTAATTGGTATTTATTCAAAGGCTTTACAGCGTTCAAAGTCTTTGCTCATTGAATGCAGTCAGGAAGAGAGCCTTGAGCAGAACACAGCTTACAGTTTAATAGGGAGAGGTTCATTCTGATCCCATAGTTTGATAATCAACTTGGTTACAGAACAGATGTAGCTTCATGTTATTAAAGCTAAAGTTTAATCAGTAATACTTTTATAACAGATTTATGTCAGATTATGATTTCTTGGTTAATGTCACGTCATAACAAAGACGTTTTGAATAATGTCAACTTTGTATTAAAAGTGTCATGATTTTCCATGGCACTTTATGACACTGGGCATAAACATTCTTGAAGACTTACTCATATTCATGACAGGTGTTATGTCTTGTTTATGACGGTGTAATGACAGTCTTATTCACAGCCCGTCAAATAAAGTGTTACCGCATCTTTTAATACAAAAACTGCCTTGTTGCCCCGACCACTGGGCTTTGCAAGATTTCTGGAGAAAACCCTGCTATTGCATTCAATTTGGAAGGTTTTACAAAATATTCCCAAAGGAAGGCTAAAAACATAGGCAATCAATAATTGGCTTCCGTCAACATCATAGCACAGAAACTGCTCTTGTGAAAATAGTCAATGACCTCCGTCTAAACAATGACCATAATAAAATTTCAGTATTAGTTTTACTTGACTTGAGCGCTGCATTTCACACAATTGATCATGACATTCTATTATCTCGATTAGAAAATTGGGTTGGCACTTCCCGAGTGGTACTCAGCTGGCTTAAATCCTACCTGTCCAATAGAACCTTTTGTGTTTCAATAGGCAGCTTTAAATCCAAGGTAAATACAATTACCTATGGAGTTCCCCAAGGGTCTATCCTGGGGCCACTTCTTTTTAATATTTACATGCTCCCATTAATTCAAATTATAAGAAATAATAATATAGAATACCACAACTATGCCGACGATACACAACTGTACATTAGTCTTTCACCAGGAGATTACAATCAGGTTCAAGTACTCTTTAAATGTATTGAGCAGATTAATGTCTGGATGAGCCATAACTTTCTCCAACTAAATCAAGACAAAACTGAAAATTAGTATTGGGACCAAAAGAGCACAGATTGAAAACTATCACCTACTCAATTGGTTTAAAATGCTCTGATAAAGCCAAAAATTTAGGGTGATTATGGATCCTGATCTGAATTTCAATTACCACATCAAATCTATTATAAAAACATCATACTATCACCTCAAAAATATTGCTAAAATCAGACGACTCATGTTCGTCCGTACAGGATTCTGAGAGACTAGTTCATGCCTTTGTTCTTAGCAGACTTGATTATTGCAATGCATTTCTTACTGGATTACCAAAAAAAGCATTAAGACAGCTCCAGCTCCTACAGAATGCTGCCGCAAGAGTCCTTACTAACACAAAAAGAGATGAGCACATCAGTCCAGTTCTCAAATCTCTGCACTGGCTGCCTGTTGCTCAAAGAATTGACTTTAAAATGTTCTTAATAGTTTATAAAGCACTTCATAATAGAAATCCAAACTACATTTCCGGTCTTCTGCAACCCTACGTACCACTCAGACCATTAAGATAATCAGAATCAAACCTATTAACTATACTGAGAATCAGAAGTAAACACGGAGAAGCAGCTTTTAGTTTTTATGCTCCAACATGATGGAATAAACTTCCTGCTCATTGTAAGTCTGCGCCTACCTTGAGTTCATTTAAAACAAGGTTAAAAACCTTCTTATTTGAAGTCGTCTATTCTTACATTTTTAATCCCACTCATTTACTATAATTACAATTTTAATGTTTACTTTGTCTATATATTTTCTTTATTTTATTTTTTTATTTTTTCTTCTAACAGTATGTATTTCTTATTTTTCTTGTACAAGCACTTTGAGTTGTCTTTGGCTGAAAGGTGCTATATAAATAAAGTTGCCTTGCCTCTCTTGAAATTACTGAAATATGCATTAGTCAGCCAGTGGAGATTTTAAAAGGGTGAAAGTGCAAATTGTATTTGAATGGTTATTATATAGCAGCATTTTGGTCTTTTTATTTCAGTCTCTGCTTTCTCCCGTCCTTAAGTTGTGGATTTTTATGCCATTTCTTCACATTTCTTTGATGTATCTTGTTAAGTCTGATTAAGTAAAACAGAGTATATTATTTTAAACATAATATACTAGCAAAGTTGGTATTAATCTTGATAGAGATGCTTATTTCTGTTAATTTTTATTATTGTGACTTAAAGCATGTAGAAACCCCAAATTAAGTCTCAGGAAACCTTACCTTACAGAGGACCATTAAAATATTAAAGAAAATGCTAATTTTCTTCAAATTGTGCATTTTCACCTTATATTTACATAAGGTGAATGACTGCTCTTCTCATCTTATTTTTTTTTTTAATTTGATCTCTTAAATTAGACACAAAATCCCAATTGGCCTCCATGCCAACCTGTCTGAGGGCACCCCTGTGTATCAGCAGCTCCAACAGATTTCCACACTCATTAACCCCCAAGGCTTCTTTCATGGAAAGATGGGTTTTCGCCAAGCCTTGGAGAAAGGCCAACTCAGCATGAACCAGGTACAAATAAAAAGGCCTAATTTTTTTTGTTTTATGATTTGACATTATATTTATTTATTATTTGCACTGAAATATTGGTTCTCTTGCCCTCAGAAAGGAGTGCTTGGATGGGAATATACATGTGATCTTAAGGAGTTCTGCAAGTAGAATAGAAAAGTAATTTATTTGTTGTTCCATGGAGAAATAGAGCTTTGGGCAATTGATTTAATTAAATCAGATCTGCATATGGTATCACAGGTCCTGCTTCTCTTTGCTTTTAGCTGATTCATAGATCACTGGGCTTTTTGAGGCACAGCGGCTTTATGAAGTGCATGGTGTTCAAATATGTTCCTAAACAATAGGAGCATATTTCCATATATGAGTAATTAAAAAAAACAAACAATTGCTTATCTAAAAGTAAGAAAACAAAGAGAAAACTCAGAAGTGCAGGAGGTTTTACAATGGAATTTTAATTTTCAGATTTTTAAATTGAACAATGCTCAATACCTTGGACTGAAGAAAAGTTTTTAACTTTGTCCACACAGCAGATTTTTATGTTTGGTTATGACTTGTTGATGTTTATAATGCTTAAAAAGATGTGAGAGGAATTAAGGTAGCAACATTGTCATTTCGAGATCGGGTCTGGATACCTGAATACCTTTTTCAGGGATAATTATCCCTGAAAAAATATTAATTTTTCAGGGATAATTTATTTATTTATTATTTTTCAAATAATAAATAAATAAATTACTACCGTATTTTCCAGTTTTTTTTCATAGTTTGGCCGACGGTGTAACTTATACTCCGGAGCGACTTATGTATGGAAATTAACACATCATTATATCATATCACATGTTATTTTCACACTAAACTGCAAGAGGGCGCTCTAGGCCTGTGCTATTCTACCTTTGGAGTTGTTCACAAGAGACACAGAGGACGAGGATTTCATTGCGTTTAGTGATTTGGAGAGACACAGATGGTTTGGTAAACTTGTTAGCTATAGTTATCTGAATAACTCTTAATATGTTATGTTAACTTACCAGGCATGTTCTCAGTTCATTGTTTGTCATGTAACGTTAGCATACCGTACAATTATTCAGCCTGTATAAAGCTGTGCTTACCCTCATACCTGTGGACCTTTCTTTCATAAATCCTATTTAAAGCCTGTGGCCACCCATACGCGCATGTATAAATTAATATAAATATCCAGAAGGCTGCCACCACGTAAAGCAATAATCATGGCGACAGTCCTTGTTTTTAGCAGTATAAATAATTATCAGTCAATCAATCAAATTATGTTTGTATAGCAGATTTCACCAGCAAGGCATTTCAAAGTGCTTTACATCATAACAAACACAAAAACACAAAGTCATGCAACATAGACTCAACAATCAAAACATTACATTAAGTCAAGTGCCATTGTTATTACATTTCAAATAAAACTAATCAACTCTAGTCAAGATTTAAAGGAAGTCAGTGTTTCAACTGTATTACAATTTTCTGGACGTTAGTTCCAGATTTGTGGTGCATAGAAGTTGAATGCTGCTTCTCCATGCTTGGTTCTGGGTTAGGGAAGCCAGATGATATCTGGACCCCAACCTCACACCTCAGAAACGCAGAGTGGTGGATCCTCTGGGAAGTCAGAGGTAGGTGGCTTAAATTGAAGTGAGGTCTGCTACGTGAGCGCTAAGGAGAGAATATGTTGATTCATTCCATCTGTAAATTTGAGAAACTCTGGTCCAGAAGGCATTTCTTCATAGGTATCTTGTGAATGCAGTGAATGAGTGGGGGAGCAGAGAAGGAGGGGGAAAGAGGAGGGCGACAGTCTCTCTGTCTCCAGTCGATTTTATCAGCTTGTTTTGGAATAGTTTGCTCCTGATTAGATTAGATTAGAATAGATTAGATTACATTGCATTTATTGTCATTGAACAAACTTCAAGGAAATTTCCATTGCAACTCTCGTTCTTCTGAAGCGATGATCACATTATTGTCCTTGTTGATAAAATGAAAAAGGTTTACAGTGAATAGCTTTATCCCATGTTTTTTAAGATTGCGTCAGCCTCTTCCAAAGAGGTGAAAGTGCTGCCAATAGAGCCAGAAGTTCTCATGAAGGTCACTGAGCTGGCAGAGCAGGTTAATCAGCCATTTGTTGGTTCCAACATGCACAACTAAAGTCTCAATATTTGGCATATCAGTGGTTAGACAGAGTACTGTGTGAGTTAAATCAGACACAGGGTCATCAGGAAAATACATCACTCTTATTTTGTTTGGATTGCAAACGTAACTGATACCATTTACTGGCTCATCTCCAACAATAAGCACTTTTGGGATACCTTTCATTTTCCTGGTGGTCACTTTGTACTTTGGAGCTTTGGGGGGTGGATGTGTTGATCTTGCCTCAGTGTTCATGTTTGAAGACGATTGGTTTCACTCCAAGGCTCAGGCTGAAGTGCAGAAAATCTTTTTTCAGTGGGATTCCCATGGAGTCGAAATGTTTTGAGGCTTGTGGTGTCACTTTGTCCTTGGAAGTGGGTCGGTGGAGCCGTTTTGGTTCCAGCTGCTTGTTTATTTTTCTTTGGCAGAGAAGGTGTTGGAGATGAAGATGGGTTTTGGCTCAGAGCCAGTTATGCTGATTCGTCCAGATGAGGGGTTCTTCCTGTTAGTCGTCTCATGTGATCCGTAGTGTGAGACTTGTTTTGGCTTGGCACCCTGGGTGTTCCAGGGTGAGCTGCTTGGTGCAGGGAGTGTTCATTTCTATAGACTGAAGTCATTGTATAATACTGCTAATGTTCCTGGGGTTGACTGGAGGCATTTTGCCCTGGTTCAACTTGGAGGTGAAGAAAAGTAAGATGAAAATAAAAGTAAGAAAATTCCACAGTCCTTAAGTTTGAAGTAATGCAGTTCTGATGTTGAAAATGTAAATATAACTATTGTTTGTTATTATGCAATAGCCAGCCCCACCCTACTCCTCAAGATCCCTTTCGGCTTACTACTGACCAGTTCTCCGTCTAAAGGGTCTGGAAAGTGTCTAAAAGCTGGGTATTACCCTGTGTGGAAGGACTAAGAGAGACAATCTGTCTAAGCTGGTGTCAGAGAGACTCGTCTATCTCTAACTACCTACAATCCAGAACTTATGAGCCTTTTCAGTTAAGAAGCAATCGGTTGAGTAGGCCTAACTTCAATAACCACTTCTGTTAACGGTAGCCCTCTCTCTAATAATAACGAGCACTTGTTAATAGGTAGATTAGTTTCAGCAACTTTGTAAGTCCCAGGGTCATTATCTATGTAACAACTAAAGGAAAGTCTGGAGCCACCACATTTCGAGAATCATGCACATGGATTTTACATCAAGTAGAAGAACCTCAACCAATAAAATGACCCAATTAATTTCAATGTTCACGAACCTCATTAGAATTTTAATATATATATTTGTTAAGCAAGCTTTGAGCATGGGTAAATGACAACCAGATTAATCATCAATGATTGTAAGTATTTAAGAACAAAAATGAATTTAATTAAGATCAACATAAACCTTTCCTAAATTCTTTCCTTAGACTGTGCCATCTATTTACTAAAAAAGGCTTTGCGGTGCGGCAGACTCATACCCAGGTGGTGGAGGATCTCGGCAATAGAGAGCTTGAATATCCTTGGACAGAGTCTTGACTCAGTATGACAAATCCTCCTTCGAATAGGAACAAAGTAAAGCTGGTTGTTGTCTTCTAAACATCCCAATCTTCATCACTCTTGTGACCTTTGTCCAATTCCCACGTCCATTGCAGCAATCTCGAGATCTTTAGGGCTGAGTGCAGTAGCCACAATCAAATCAGGAGCCAGAGCTATTGGGCATCAGGTCCCGTCGCTCTTTCAGCAGTGTGAAGGCTCGACTTCCATCTGGTTCCAGGGTGCAGCTTCCTGCTGGTTCTCTAGCCTGCGGCTCCTGCTGGTTCTCTAGCCTGCGGCTCCTGCTGGCTAGATAAACTACTACTTCACATCCCAGTCCACTTCTGGAACAAGAACTATTTTTTTGTTCCAGAAGTGCCTGCGGCTGTTAGCTCGATCCATCGGAGATGGAAGAACTCTATTCCTCCTATCTTTCGGGCCTTTATATTTTTCTCTCTCCATTGTTGTGTATGGGGAGATGGTGTACGTGACTTCTCAAGGATTTAATTACCTCATGGAAGGTCCCATGCCTTCCCGTATTCGGTCAACGCATTGTCCACTTCTGCTTTACTTGTTTATCTCAAGTCCCTGGCTTAGTTCCTGGATTTCCTTATTTGGTACACAGACCAGGCATGTCCAAACCCATCCTCAAGACATGTCCAGGATTGTCTCTGCACCCACAGACTGTCCCTATTCTTTTATGATGTGATTTCAATCCTTTATGTGCTATATGATCACTATAAATCATCAACAAAATCATCTTTTAATACATTTCTTCAACCATAACTGCTTAATACTGATTTGTTTTATTAATCAAATAAGATTATAGTACTTTCAACTTGTGATTCGTCACTTAACTGTTTTGTATAATCATCAATAATCAACTTCAGAATTTACTCACTTTATAAAAATTAATACATCAACATAATACACTTTTTCATAATCAACAGGAAATGAACAAGATTACTTCCATCTTTCAGGCCCTTTATGATCTTTGTTCTGTGTGAACTTGGAAATATCTCACCTCCACATACCAGTTTTCACGACACTATAAAAACTGACTTAAAAATAACTCACAGGCAAAGTTATCAGTAGGGACAAGAGAGAGCAGGATAAGTTGTTCCTTCTTCAGCTGACAGAGTGCATCTCTGACAGCTGAACAGTTATTATAACTATTGTAAAAATACATATGTTTTATTTAAACGGTGCTTGCTTTTGGGGCACATAAAGTCACCTAAAAAATAAACAATTTAAGAAAAATTTGGTCAGTCACTGCAACAGGGCAGGTTGGAGAGCAAGGTGCTTCACCACTTAAGTTTAGTTGCAAAGGTTTTGCAGCTCACTCTTTCGCCAGAGCCTTGAGTAGACTTGGCATCAAGAAACAATGCAGAAGGAGAGCTGTCCTTAGTACCACTGAAACATCAGACATGGCTCTCAAATGGTTGTGGCTTAAGAGAGGAGAACTGTAGAGAGAATGTAGCTAGTTAGCCTTCTTGAAACAAGGTAGGGACTGATCATCCCTGAAAGTTGGAGTATGATGTTGAAAGACCCGAAACACTCAATAATTCTAACATCACTGATAATGTGTCTAGATGCATCAGTAGATGTATTCACACATCCACATCATTCAGAAAATTCATTCATTTTCTGAATGAATTCACATTCAGAAAATCTAAGTGTCTTTCTTCTATACAGAAAATGTTTGTTTCAGAACAACCAAAGGAAAATGAGAATGCAAATTCTTTATGTTTTTCTCATCCTAACGTATATAAACTTGCTTCTGTGGTGAAGAAAATGTAAATGCCAGTAAATGTAACTCAGGGGCATGGGTCACTAACGTGATACATAAAAAATGGATTTCTTCCAAAGTTTTTCTCACTTTTATTTTGGGTTTTGTCCCCAGGTAGAGCTGGAGCTGAGGGCCCAAGTCAGGCGCTTTATAGAATTGACAGGTCACCTGCCTCATCACATGGATGGACACCAGCATGTTCATGTTCTGCCAGGTATTGCAAAATGGTTAGCAGCTCAGGTTTTTTTATGTGTGAACTAATCTAAATGGCATTGCAATAAAATACCAATTACTTCTGAGTGGACGTAAATAAGGTAAAGGTAATTTTATTTATATAGCACATTAGCACAACAAAGAAATACAAAGTGCTTTACATGAATTAAAAGGAAATACAAACAAAATTACAAACCAAAGGAAAGGGCAAAAGAAGAAAACGCTGATAATGTTGATCCAAAGTAAATAAACTAGATATTCCTGTTCAGGCTTGCTATTATCTAGTTTATTTACATATCCTGTGGTCTAATGCTTTTTCTGGTTTAGAAGAATAGGAGTCTGAAAAGTAGTTGCTGAGGTAGTTTTTCTGGGTTCCAAGTTCTAATCTCTGTTCTGGGTTGCTAAATAAGTGTAAGTAAGTATCCTCTGGACTTCTGGGTTGCGAGATAACAATAAGTATTCTCTGGACTTTCTAAATGTGCTCTAAATTTATGAAAGTAATGAGTACTCTACAGTTTCTAAAATATAAACTAAAGAGTGAGTAATAAGCTACAGTCTCTGGATTCCAAGTTTGTTCTAATTCCTTTTCTGGGTTAAAAGTGAGTACTTCACAGTTTCTAACAAAATAAAATAAAAAATGGACACTGCCATTAGGACAAATGGCAACATTCAGACAAAATAAAGGGCAAAACAAATACATGAAGGTGGTGACATCACAGGACCATAAATAAACAGGATTATTTGATTTTATTTGGATGATTTGGGTTCCTGGAGATTTTGAAAAGTGATTTGGGCTGCTACTTGTAATTAGGAGCCACAAAACTAGTTTGAAATGAACTTGATGGCAAGAGGATTTAGTTCTGCTGTATTGTTTATACTGTCCAGATGTTCGGGAAGTGTTTGCACAGGTTCTCTCTGACGTAAGGATTCCATTCACTCGTGTTCCAATGGAGCCAGGTTTGTGCAACTGTCCATGGATCCCAGCACACCTCCACACTTTTTACATGGAAGTTGAAAAGAATGCCCTGGACTCAATTCCTGTCTTCAAACACTATGGAATCAGGTATATTTGTGTGTTTATGAGGCAAAGATAAAGCCTCTTCTGGTTTGCTATTTTTGTTTTTATTGTTTTTTAGCTTTTTGATTTCAGTTTGGGTTCTCCTGGTTTCAAAACACACATGCTTACATTGCTGGAGAAAAAAGATCCTAGTAAAGAGGGGAAAAAGCCATCAAATGTGGTACATGTCAAGATATATTATTAACTCCTGAACTCGCACCGGAACGCCCGCATGCCGAATGTGGTGAATGACACCACATTCGACCATAATGTTATAAAATTACTTTTCCCGAGCCAATAATATCCAGGGAGTGACTTGAGCTCCTTTTGACATGCCTGTATTCTTTCTGGAATGTTTCTGACTCGTCAACTCAGAAACTAAATCTAAAGCCATCGATGTGCAGCCAACATGTGTCCTGTCATAATTATATAAGGCATTTTGGGGTTTGTTTTGACATGAATCCACCAGCTGCATGCGTAACCACGCGTAATGTGTGTGTTTGTGCTGCATCAAAGTCAGGCTATGTGCGCCCTCATGCGTAACGGTGTTTACAGGACTTTTTCTCTCCAACAGAGAGCCACGGAGAGACACATTGTCAGAATGTGTCAAAACTGGATGTATTTTTTTCAGCAGAGCTTCATAATTCACAGGACTGGATGATTATGGCTGTAAGAGTAATGACAAGTTTTGGATTTGAGAATACCACTGTTACAATCAGAATGGGGTCGGGGAGGTAAAGCGTACTGAAGAGCGAGAATGGGGGGCCGAGGAAATAGGGTGCCAGAGGAGGGGAGGGGACTGGGGTGTTTAGCATACCATTCTGTTGCCTAGTTTTATTAGGCTGTTGTTGGCTTTCAAAATTTAGTGAAGTTAGCCCAAAAAACATATTCATAATCAAGTCGGTTAGTGTACAAGTGCCCTGTGGAGCTTATATTATCCAATGTTCATAGTTACTGGTACTGTTTTAACTCATTGTCGGTCAGCGGCGCGACCTGTCATGTGCAAACTGTTGATCCAGCTGAAATAAATCTAGTCTTTGAGAAATTTTATTCTGATCTATAGTCGTCACAATTCACATAATAATGAATAATTTTCTAGACAACTTGGGAATCCCTGCTATAGGTCCTGCTATGGAGAGGGATATGGATAGGCCCCAAACTCTTAGTGAAGTAATCAATTCTATTTTGGTAATGCAGAGTGGCAAGGCCCCTGGACCAGATGGCTATAAAATCAAATTCTATTAAAAAAAAAAATCTCATCCAAGTTAGCACCTCTTTCACTTGAAATGTTTTACCACTCTCTGGATCAGGGAACCTTGCCACAGACCCTTACAGAAGCTAACATTATACTTTTACTAAAACATGATACGAACACAGCAGACTTCCTACTGGTCCATTTCACTCCCAAATGGAGGCGTTAAAATATTAGCTAAGCTATGAGATTGGACACTGCCATGGCAGACATACTTTTCTCAGATCAAACCGGGTTTATGAGGGATCGCCACTCTTTCTCTATAGGCAGGCTTATTGGTGGTGTTCACTCTCCTGCATTGGGGGAGACCACCAAGGTTGTGGCTCGGTTTGGGGCCCAAATTTACATCATGTGTACAACTGTTGTATACATCACCCACAGCAAGTGTAATCACTAACAGAACAAGGTCTAGTTCCCTTCTCTTTATCCAAAGGTACCTGACAGGGTTGTCCTCTCAACCTGCTCCTCTTCATTTTGGCTATTGAGCCACTTCCAATTATGCTTAAGATTTCACGGGGCTTTAAGGGAATTAATAGAAAATAGCTGGAACATTGACTGTCCTTATACGTGGACAACTTATTACGCTACATCTAGGACCCGGTATTATCCATCTCCGACATTGTGAGCTTGGTAAACAGCTTTGGCAAATTTTCAGAATATAAGTTGAACTTCCTAAAGAGTAAATGTTTCCAATTAATAACTCTGCACTCCAAATTACAGAAACTAACTTGCCCTTCCCTCTCTCTAGAACAGGATTCAAATATTTGGGAATCAATGTGACGCGTTCTTTTTTTTGATCTATTTGAAAAAATCTTCACCCCTCTGCTTATAATCTTAAACGCGAAGTGTCCAAAATGTATCCCTCACTGGCAAAGTAGCATGTATTAAAATGAACATCTTGCCAAGTTTTATGAATCTCTTTCAGAGTATTCCAGCTTTTCTCCCAAAATTATTGTTCAGATTTATTGATAAACAGCTGTCTTTGTTCATGAGGAGTAATAAACACCTCATAATCAGTAGGCATTTCCTTCAGAGACACAAGGGAGAGGGAGGTATGGCTCTACCTAACCTGTTGTATTATTACTGGGCAGAAAACTTACAAAAAGTAGTTGACTGGTGCCAATTAGAACTGAATGCATGTAAGCCATCATCATTCCATGCACTGTAAAAAAAAACTGTCATTTTTACGGTAAAATACTGGCAGCTGTGGTTGCCAGAATTTAACCGTAAAAATTACAGTCAGCTAATTTTTACAATTGCTGATTCTACAGTAATAAATTGTGTTTTATTTAACCTTTTACTGTAAAAATGACAGTTTTTACCATTGAAATTGATCAAGTTTTACCCTAAAATTTACATTTGAACAATATTACAAATACAGTTAAAGCCATGAAATATGAAAGTATTTTGCTGTAAAATTAAAAGTCTAAATTATTAAATATGAATATAAATTCCTGTATAATTACAGGGTTTTGTCTGTAATTTCAAAAAAAGTATACTTTTTAAAATACAGAGAAAACCCTGTAATTATACAGGAATTCAGTGTATTTGTAATATTGTTTTAATGTCAATTTTAGGGTAAAACTTGATCAATTTCAATGGTAAAAACTGTCATTTTTACAGTAAAAAGTTAAATAAAACACAATTTATTACTGTAGAATCAGCAACTGTAAAAATTAGCTGACTGTAATTTTTACGGTTAAATTCTGGCAACCACAGCTGCCAGTATTTTACCGTAAAAATTACAGTTTTTTTTTTTACAGTGTGTAATTTTTACGGTTAAATTCTGGCAACCACAGCTGCCAGTATTTTACCGTAAAAATGAAACTTTTTTTTACAGTGAATTGTGAAATTAAAAAGTGCAAATTTACTTTGTAAAATTATCAAATCGATTATAGCAGCTAAATAATGTGTTACCAGTGTAGTCTAATGGCAAAAACATGAAAAAGTATAAGTAAATTTTACATAAAATATCCAAAAACCAAACTTTATTGTATTTTTTCCATTTAATGAAAACTTTTTGGGCTGTACAAACTTCTCACAACTCTGTGCACACTGATTACAAAGAACTTGTAACACATCTTCCAAAAAGCAGCAAGCACTTACATTAGTGCAAAAGTTTGAAGAGATATGACACAACATTATCACTTCAATCCTGGTGCAGTGTTTCAAATGAATAATCCATATGGAATTGGAAATAAGAACTTTCTAACAAATGTGCTGGCCACCACTGTAACCTTTCTGAATTAGCTAAAACTGTTCACGTTTGTCAGGTTTTTTGACTTGTAAATCACCACATATTTATTAAGCCGTGACAGTGGTGCAGCATAAAATCTGTTTTATTGTCATCTGCTATCTACATATAGAAAAAAAAATGTCTAACATAAATTTGCAAGATTTAACATGAAGATGAAAGATGTGAAATCTTACATTGTAAACCTTAAATGCCAATAAAATGCAGTTTTCAACATACGGCAACATAACATTACACATCATATCACATGACTCACAAAGTATGGTCTAAGTCCACTCATGGTCTGCAAGGTCAGCGATGAGTGTGAGGACTCTTGGGTTGACTGCAAAGATCTTCCTCCTCTTGCTATGCTCAACTTTTGTTCCTCTCTCCGGATTAATTGAAAAGAAACACCTTGAAGAAAAGAAATTTTATTGCATTTAATGTTATGTTTATAAATGACTTAAGAGAACGATATCACGAGATCCAGCTTTGTGGTGGCTGGATTCAGTGGCAGAGCCAGAGGAATATTCAGTGACAGGCTTTTGTGCCTATCCTGCTTCACAAACAGACTGAAGAACTCTTCTGTGTCCATGGCCATAAAAAATATACAATTTAAACACTGCAAAGAAATGATAAAACATTTTCACAGTTTCTACTGGCATTATTTCTATCATGAATATTTAGATTTAGCAGTTTTTCCCCTCCATTTCAATTGTCTTTTGTATTTATTATATTTCAGTAACTAGTAACATTCTGATCTATAATGTGAAAACTTTTATCTTGCTGGTAAATATAGACACTGTGTAAGTAGAAGAATTACCTCTGGAGGAACTCCAGTGTTGACCGCAGTCCCACTGGGTAGTGTATATTAAAACAGTAGTAACTGCCAAACATCAGGCAGATGGCACAGGAGAAGGCAGTGATGTGGTCATTGATAATCTTCTGATCAATACTCAACATGAAGCAGTCCGCAGAGAAGCAAGAGGACCCTTTGAATAAAAAACATGAACAAATATATATCACAAAAAGCCCCTGTGTGAACCATTCAACTACTTTGTCAACTTGGTTCATACATACCACACACAATAAGGCAGGGTGTTGCTGGCACATCCTCCATCTCAACCTCTTCAGCAAGGCTGGTCTTCTCAACATAGTGGAACATTTGCTCTTCCTTCTCACCAAAAAAAGCAAGTAGAAGAAGAATCATCTCTGTACAACCACTGGATTGACCTTTATCACTTGCTAACTTGAAGAGAGACTCCAGAACTTGTTTTTCTTTCTGAGCAAAAACAGTTTTCAGGAAGTTGAGGATGCGCTCCCCCTTTTTGTCCAGATTGGTGAAGAAGGCTTCCATCAGACTGATGCCAGTAAGTTGCTGGAAGTGTTCTGCCATGCCAGTTTCATGGAACAAAAAAGGCCGTTCTTGGCATAGCTTCAGGATACTTGTACCTTTATTGATGTCCTTTTGTTGCGTGTAATAGGTGGACTTGATAAGTTCTTTCACATCTTCTGCAGCAT